TGTGATTGTTGCATATCATGCATTAGTGACTAGCTGAGGAGATTATGTTGATGAGATGGATGTAGATGTTGATATAAACATGCATGATTGTGATTATGTGGTTTGCCTTTATTTCGATCATAATTGGCCTTTTTTACAGCCTCGTTCTTTGATACTAACTTGGTTGGGTCTGTAAAGAGTAAATGTGGGGCAATGATACCTTAGTTGTATGTATTGTGATTGTTGCATATCATGCATTATGAGGAGATTATGTTGATGAGATGGATGTAGATATTGATATAAACACACATGATTGTGATTATGTGGTTTGCCTTTATTTCGATCATAGTTGGCCTTTTTCAAAGCCTCATTCTTTGATACTAACTTGGTTGGGTTTGTAAAGAGTAAATGTGGGGCAATGACACCTTAGGGCCCCATTCCTCAATACTTATCCAGCCAAATATGTAAAAGGGGTATAGGATAACGATACATTTAAATTGAGTTATTTAATAAGGAGAGCCATAGTTTGGGTTTAGACTCTATATCTTTGGCCATATATATTTCAAGTTTCAAAGATGTCTTGGTATATTAACTAGATCGTAGATAAGCCTATGATTTTAATCAATGGTATAAGGTTGGATGGAACAATAAGGAAGGGTTGCCCATCTTGCATGAGATTATATGCTGCATATATCTACCATGAATGATGGCCTATAAATTGTTATACTAGTAATTAAATAATGATAATCAAATTATATGTACGCACAGAGTGTTGTTTGGGTATAGTAATTAGTTTGTACATGTGTGGTAATATTTTGGATTATTGAAACATTAGTATTCACCCTTTTTCTTTAATATTTTTTAGGCAAGCCTAGTGAAGCTAAGAGGAAGCATATGGAAGCTTGAAACTTAGCTCAAGTAAGTATTGAATCCCACTTTAATTTGCAAAACAAACAATTGTTAGTTTATGACTGATTTATTATTTGATATTAATTACTTAAACTTTTTTGTATTTCTTTATGTCTACTAGGAGTGCTATTAGTTGAAGCTTGAGGCCATAAGAAGTACATGACTTAATTATTTTAAAATAAATATTTTATTATAAAATTTTAGTGTTAAGATTTTGAGAGAGAAGTAAATATTTAAATATTTGTTATGAAATATGACCCGCATATTTGCAAACTTTGACTGGCTTGTACTTTATAAAGTTATATCTATCAACCATAGTAGGGTGATTTTTGTGGTTAAACTTTTATAACTTGGATGGTCCTTTTTAACTGCCTTAATTTTTTTCCACCAAAGTTGGTTTTTAAACGTTGAATCTTTTTATATGGTAACTCCTTGAAATTTAGATTAATTATTTTTTACCATGATTATCTTTTGAAAATAAATTTAAAAATTAATTTTAAAACTTTTATACCATGGTAGCGATTTTTTTATTTAATTCTTTTATCACCATAATATTTGGATCAAGTTTTTGGGTTGGAAATGCTAGGTGTTGCATTTAAAAGGGAACAACATTACATCCTTTTTAATGTTTCAGGAGTGACTTAAAAATAATCATATAATTAATAAGTCATCAATATTATGTGATTTAAAAATTTAAATAAGTAATGTATATGTGGTATAATTAAACCAGCATTCGTTTGCCGGTCAATGTTTCCACATGGATGCTTATAACTCGGCTCCAACATACTTCGCTCTTGCTAAATAGGGGATTTAGGATATATATATATATATATATATTGAATATACATACTTTAAAAAAACTTAGACACCGGTTTTAAAAATATTTTTAATAAATAATAAGCATATAATTTTGTTTTATTATAATATATGAATTTCTCTTCATAAAATATAATCAGGTGGCTTCTTGCATGGAATTTGAAAAAGTAATTTAAACTATTTACTATTCATGAATCATGCAATTTGCTTTAGATTTAATGCTTTACATGGATACACATCTCTGTTTGAACTAATTTTTTTTTTACTTCATTCATAATTATTCATGCTATTCGAGATATTGGTGTTGTTTGAAACTGTTTTTATTTTATTGTTTTGAGAACTAATATTTTATAAAACACATTTTGAAAATAAAAAATAATGAAAATAGATTTTTTTTTATTTTTTCTTGTTCTCCAAAACAATAATTTCAAAACACCTAAAAATTATTTTTATTTTTATTTTTTAAAACAATATTTTGTTTTTTTTCTTCTTTAAAATACTTTTTAAAAACATATTACTAAACAAATTCTTTTATTCTTTTATTTTGGAGAACAAAAAATTATTTCCAAAATAAGTTGTCAAATAGGCCCATTATAGCTCATTTCTTAGATTAAAATGAGTTCAATGAGTTAAATCATGGATGAAGCTTTAAATGAATAGCATTGCATCTCCTTACGATTTTCATAGATATACTGATATTGATGATTTAAAATTGTTTTATTTGAAAAAATAATAATAAATGGCTGGCTTATTCTTCTTATTTCTTTCACGAAAGGTACTTCATTCGAAGTCTTAACAGCCATTCAAAAAAGTTCTCCTAAGATTAGAAATGGAAATTTAGCTTTAAAGTTATTAAACCAATGCCTACCACAATGTCTATGTCGGAGTATGGAAAAAAATTTGCAACCACTTGTGTCAATCCTTACATACAACAAAAACAAAATCACACAAATATGCAATCATAACACATAATGGACAAGAAATATATGTCATTTTGAAAGTAAAAATTGTCATCTTTTGCTTGTCACTAATTATACAATAGTTGTCCCCTATTGCATATTTCAAGTATTCTAAGAAAAAACTATTAAGATTCTCAAATTCTACCTCAACCTTTTGCATATGCTATGGGAATAGTCCTTTATTTGCATCAAGCAAAAAATGTACATAGCAACATGCCTCCATAGGAATTTTTTAAATGGTAATCATCTAACTAAAAAAAGGCACACAGCCTTTTATAAAACCATCTCTACGAATAGCTAAACATATAAAAATTCCTTTGAAAATAGTGCTATCTTTAAATGAAAACTTGTCATGGTAACTTCATTGTGCTCTACTTATTTTTTTCTGACAATAATTTTACATATTTTGGTATCTTGTAACTTGTAGCATGAGAACCTTTACACTCTTCTCTTCCTTTTTTTTTTTATTTCCCTATATAGTTGCATTTGATGAACCTTGACTCCATACTTGGTAGTCAATTCATTATCCATTAATTCATGACTCACTAGGTTCAACATTCAAAGATCCTTTCAATTTATCTACTATCCATTAGGTTGATTAATTAGCCTAATACAAGTGTGCCTAGGTTCATGTCTTTATCATAGAAGTTACAACATTTGGAGCAGGGGAAGCATCGATTCTCTAAGGACAGCCATTTGAGACACAAATAACAATCACCCTTACTTTTTCATTTTTTTATTGTGATATGTCAAAATTCTCTTGAAATGCATAATCCTCAAAACACTCATAAATTCATTTACATCTATAAACAACAAATCTCTTTCTAAATGCACTTTGCCATTAGCATCATACTCAAGTCCTTTTACCTTGGCATTCTTAATAATGTCAAGGATTTGAAGCTTTTCTGTATCACTATCACTTGTGGAATTTTCAATGCCATCAATGTCAATTTCAGGATCATTGCCTTCATTATCTTCTATATTATTCAAAGTAGAATTATCAACAATCTCTTTACTCTCTTCATTATTTTCTACTTTATGATCATCATAATCCTCTTTAGTATTCATAAACAATTTATCAATAGGAGGATTACTTTTATCCCAATTATCAATATCTTCAACATGAGTTATATTATCGCACATTGAATGGAGATTTGTAGGTTAAAATAAAAATAAAATCAGATTTAGGTGCGTGTACATGTGTATTAGATTTTCAAAAATAAATCATACTACTTTATCATTATCAAAATAAATAGATCGAGCGCCAACGAGTTCATATTCAGTCAAAATACTGTCTAACTGATTATCATTATCAATTAATTGATTTCACATGAATGTTGGCCAATGACTGATGTCGGAAAAGAAGTGGGGAGTATATAAGATTTTCCCCTCCACTCCTTACGAAAAGCAAAGCAAAATTTGATTGAAATTGGAGGCGTGCAAGGTTTGTAGTGCACATCAAGCCCATGTCCTACAACAGTGGAGGCAATATACATCCAATATATATAAAAGAGCTCAGCACTCCTCATTGACTTTCTCCTTCCTCCCTTCTCTCACACACCGCTTAGAAAATAACGCTTATAGATCTGACTTGCTAACTTGAGAGGAAAAAGAAAAAATTATGCAAATATTTTATGGTACCTTCTTTCCTTGCGTTGTTCCGTAGCTTCCATGGATTTTCATATTTTTCTTTCTCAATCACTTTTTTTCTTCTTCTTTACAATGAAATTCATATAATCGTTAAAATAATATGATTTAAAGATTTATTAACATGAGGGGTAAATTATATGTTTTTAATATAAAATTTTAATATAAAAATAATTTTAAGAATATTAGTTAATAGATTAGACTAAATTATATGTTTTTAAAATAGAGAGGGAATCCGTATAATTAAAACAAAATATAAAAGTGATCGGAGTATTTTGCTTATTTACTATTCTTTAACGATATTCCACTGTATTATTGGTGTTGTTACCCCCCCCCCCACACTTCAATTAAAATTAAAAATAAATAAATATTAAAATCTTGATTACTCTTTATCTTTACACACGCCAAGCAGGAAGACAATTTTTTTTTTTTTTACATACGACGGCGTGAGGAATAAACAACATCTTTTTCTGCCAACGTACGACGTGAACAACATCATCCCAGTAATTCGTGGTTTTTAATAATAACAAAAGAATCAAAATGAAAGAAGTATTATTACTAATATACACAAAATTAAACTGAATGTTACTGCCAAATGATGACTGGCATCGATGTAGCATCAGATTTTTTGTTGGATTCGGCAAGCGCCCCTGCCAATCCATCTCATCTTAAATCAAACATGATGTTCATTTCATTTATCGAACTGTTCAAAGTTTAATTTTAGAATTATAGAGAGAGAAGAACAATGGGTCAATATTTATTTATATTTCTATACGAAGGCCCTGCAAAGTCCGAGCACCGAGAGTCTCAAGAGCATCTCTATCGTCCCATATGGCTCGCATAGCATGGCTCTCCGATCAAGCTCCTTCCGCTGGGGATTTTCATTATTGATCTGCCTTCTCGAAGAGACAATTTGCTGCAAGGGAAATTGGTGAATTCTCAGACGAGGTGAGACTCTTGAAAATCCTTGTTTTGCTATCTCGATCTTCTTTTGGGATTTTTGCCTAGGCAAAGACTTTCTGCCGAGTGGGGCGGAAAGAAGCCAAATTAGTATGGTAATGTCGCCTTATTTAGGATTTCTGAGCTGGATCTTTTTTGTTTCTCTTTATTTGTTGAATTTTATGGGCATGAAAACTGTAGTTTCGAAGATTTAAGAGGGTTTTTGGTCTCGCTGTTTCGTGTAGATGGGACCTGGGGTGGGATCAGCTGGCCCATCTGAGGTTGTGGTCAAGAGCAGGAACTCTTCGGGTTGTTTAATTGTTAGAAAGAAAGGAGATGCGTTGCCAGGTGGGGTTGGTTCTTCCAGCTCTCAGAAGCTGTATGATAAGAAGGCGGCGATGAGACATAGTATGGCCTCAAGTGATTCAGGATCAAGCGATGAATCATTGTTGCCTCCTAGCAGAAGGATGGGTCCTGAGACTGTTCGTGTCGGCAATGGTTTGACTTCCTTCCAACAGGGTATGGTTGCAGGGAGTGAATTTGGGAGAAGGAGGGATCGAATGGCTCTATCTAGGTTAAATAAGGAGGGCTTGGTCAATAAGAATGGTTTTGAGGAAAGGGAAAGAAAACGGGATAGATTGGATTCATTTGATTTTGATGAATATGAGGGTAGTCATGTGGAAAAGACACGAAGGCATTTTGATGATCATGAAGTTGGTTTTGGTGGAGGAAGGTACATGGGATCAATGCATGGCATTGAAAAGGAATTTGATCCTGGGTCAAGCAGACCCATTCATGAAAAAAGAAATAACTCTTATTACGACAGGTCTCTTGGCTTGTGCATGGGAAAAAATTTAGATCATAGCAGGTTTAAGATGGGCAGGGATGAACCTCACCTCCCGCTACCCTTGTTGAGAGAGAAGTTTGTGGCCAATGGAGATGAATTCATCAGAATTCAGGGAAAAAATGGTGTTCTAAAGGTGAGGGTTGGTAAGAAGAAGGTGGGCGGGCCATTAGACCACTATGATCACTGCAAACAAGTGGAAAGTCGATTGAGTTTGAGGAGTGAGGGGACTACTGCTAAGAGGAATGATCTGATCCGTTCTTCATCGAACTTTGAAACAGCATTTGCTGAGAAATCGAGCCTAGTTCTTAGGCGAGATAAAAAGAAGATAACATCAAGAAAATCATTGTCAAGCAAGGACAGTAAGGGTGATGCTTTGGATTCAGAGAACAGTGACACATCATCAAACCTGGGACAAAAAAATGCTGAAGCTCGCAAGTCTGTGAAGAGGGTAAGTTCTGAGGATGAACAGGCTTCTTTGCATGAAAAGCTTCCAACTGCAAGAACAAAAGAAGGCAAAGCCAGGGGTGGTAGTGGTACAGAGAAGCAGAGACTACGGGAAAAAATAAGGGAGATGCTGCTAAGTGCGGGCTGGACAATAGACTATCGGCCTCGAAGGAACAGAGACTATTTAGATGCTGTTTATATTAATCCAGGGGGCACAGCCTACTGGTCTATCATCAAGGCCTATGATGCACTTCAAAAGCAACTGGCTGATGTTGATAAGGAGGCCAAGTCCAATGGAGATGGATCTTCCTTTGCTCATTTTTCAGATGAGGTGCTCAGTCAATTGACAAGGAAAACTCGGAAGAAGATGGAGAAAGAACTGAAAAAGCAGAGAGGTTGTAGTGAGAGTGATAGTGAAAAGGAACCTCATACTAAGAGATCTGCCAGCAGCAAGCATCCTATTCATAGCTTTGATTGTGATAGCAATGAAGAGAAATTAAACTCCACTATAAAGCAGGGAAATAAGTCAATGAAAAATAAGATGACTGAAAATGCTATTTCGGGTGCTAGCTCTAAATCTCATAGTCCCGATTATCACTTAAATGAGGGCTCAGAAAAACAACTCTCTGGATGTGATCCCCATCTGCTATGGAAGGGAGAAGTAGAAAGCATGGAGGATGTGCACTCTTAGGTTGCTATTTTGACTGGGGACTCAATTCAGAATCTGGCTTTGTTCTATGTACAGGAAAACTGACAGTGCTTTCTCGATTCTGGGACCATGTAGTTAAGCCAAAAACTTTAGTATCAGAAGCAAAAGCAAGTAATGCTGGAGGGATGGATGACAAGAGGTGGATTCATTGTGGCTGCTGTATTAAAATCCTCACTGTTTGGAAGATTGAGACTCGTGCAGGAAGCAAATTGTGCCTGACTTTCAATACATATATTTGGATTCTAGAATTTCTCTTCTGCAATGCCAGATAGATACATGGAATAAACAGAAATCTTACTCCCACTCCCTCGAGTTTCCACCTATCCATGCCTCCATCTTCTTGATAATCCTTTCAGAACTATCTCCTCTTCTGGTTCGGCAGGACACACTGGTTAACCTGCGACAGCTTCACCAGCTGATTCATGGCTGCCCCAAGCACTTTTTTCTTTTGAAGATCTCTATCACTCAATTTTTTGTAATTTATTAATGAATTTGAGTGCTCGTTTGGTCATCTTCAGGACAGGAATTGGAGAGGTGAAAAAGGCCATCACGGAAACCAATGTGCGGGTTGAAATCAACCAGGATGGTTTTTCTTGCTGATATTAGTACTGGTTGTCTGGTTACCCCTCCTCGATCACATGCTAGAAGTTAGTAATTTCGACTCAATTCTAGTTTATGTTGCTGGCTGCTTCACATTTTGCTTTGTTTCCTGTGTTCTCTTTTTATTCCCATCAAGGTAAGATAGTGGGTGAGTTCAATTTTTTTGGCTGTGGGTCGAAATTCTAATCACCGGACAAAGTTAGTTTGAAGTAATATGAGCAATCTACTTTTGCAGCGATAGGAGCAATCTAGAACGTATACTTTTTTTTTTAAAAAAAATACAACTTTAAGTTAGTTTGCAGTTCCAAAATTTATAGTTTTCTTGTTCGCTGGATATTGGTAAAGTGAAATGCATCCAAAATTATAATGGCATTAAATGAAGTTTATACTTCTAGGGAGGCATTTCACAAGTGTTTGAAGGTCTGGAACAAGGGATTGAAGGCTAGGTGGATATAGGATGTGTATTGGTGTGTGTACAGAAAAGAAGGCACCAAATTACATTGCAAGACAAAGGGCCAATTACATGAACGATGAATCATAGGAGATGAAATGTTGAAGGTTTCTTTTAGCTTAAAAGAACTGAGGGGACGCAACCTTAACGAAACATAGGTCTTCTTCGAATGATGTTTTTTTTTTTTTTTTTCCTTTTAACTGAACTTCTTCGAATGATGTTAGACGCAGCATTTTCATCCATTTTCGGTTGGAACAGTCTCATCGCTGTCTCCTCCTTGTGAACACGCCAAAAAAACAAAATAAAAAAAATCCGAAGTTAAGCACTAGTTGTGACTGATAAATTTAAAAAAAAAAATCTTAATGCCTGCTTATTTTATGTTTTTAATTGGACTTGCTAACACAAAAAAAAAAAAATCTTAATAAGAGGTTTCTGGTGCTCAATTATTGTTTTGTCTCAGCTTTCAACTTGTGAGTAAAAAATTATAGTGTTCCCGCACTTCAATTACGTTTCATTTTGCTCGTGAAAATTACATTTCATTTTATTTTTTATTTAAAAAAAGATATAAAAAAATAGTGTTCTATGTAGGCTTGGGTGCTAAATGTATCTATATATCTCAACGTGAGTTTAAATTTTGATCCATCACGTGAAAGAATATGTAATTTTAAATGCTAATAAGACTTGCTTAAATTTGATATATTGTTACCGATCTTTATATAAGACACAGTTTGGAAGCTTTTTTGGTCCTTAAGACAGAATTAAAGTAATTAATGTTTTTATTGCTTTAGTCCAATAATTATTGTCATTTGAATTTTTAAACAACAACTTATTACTCCATGGTGGTTATTGATTGCCGAGAAGAGTGAAATTGAAAGTTTGCATTTTTTTTTTTACAATTTCAAAGTTATAATTAATATTTTTAATTAGTAAGAAGTTAGTTAATTTTATCTTATAGTAAGGACCCGAGGAAGCAATCAATTTTTTTTAGTCAAAAGAAGCTTGCTAAAAACTTAGTCCAAAAATAAAAATAAAAGAGATAAAAAAAACCTACCAGAAATGTAAAAAAAAAAAATGCAATTCGAAATTTTTCTATAGGTAAATACGAAAAATGAATTTATCCTTATATATATATATATATATATATATAGCAATCATCTCTTGTTAAGAAAATTAATTTTGTTTGAGACAAACCAATCAATTCTTTAAGTATTTTTTATTGTTTTTGGACTAAGTCGTTAATAGGCTTATTTTAAGTTTAAATAAAAAATAATTATATCAGCATTTAAGCAAGTTTTGTCAGCATTTAAAATTGTAGAGTCAATAATTTTTGTTAATAAGACTAACTATGTTAAAATTGCAAGACTATAAATATATTTTATAAAATTAAGATATAAACTTTAAATGAAACTAGTATGTAGCCTGTATAATGCACAGGATGGGAAAAAATAAAAAATAATTTTAAATAGATAATGATACTAAATAACTATTCAAAACTTAAAACGCTATTTAGTGAAAATAAAATTTTCTACTGGTAGCTATTGACATTTGCAAAGCACAAACTAATTCCAAACTAAAAATTTATAAATATCATAATAATGTATCCTACTAACTTTTAATTAAAATAATTTATGATACACCTGATATTTTTATGTAGATTTTTTGAAATTGTAAAATACAATTAAATTTAAAGCAAATATTAAAATGTTTGAAAATGATAAGCCGGTGATTAATCTTTAATTAATCTTGTATTTAAAAAATTTGAAAATGGTTTCAATAATTAAGATCAATTTGTTTTTCATTAAAACTTTATGAATGATTATTTATTTAACTTATTATTTTGAAAAGAATTTGCTCTAAATAAAAAGGGAATGAATATCAGGTCCAAAAGAACATAATTCCCAAAAAACAATTTAAAAATTTTAAATTTTTACTAATTTAAAAACATTCAACTATTATTATATGTTCTATACCAAGTTATTAATTTACCTTTAACATTAGCTTTATAAAATAACTAAGAACATTGAAATAAGTTAATTAATGTATATAAAATCACATACCATGATAAGAGATGGCAAATATAACTTCGTTAAATTACAAATTACAACCTCACAAATTGAAACATGTAAAATACATTTTCTTCATAACATTCTTTTCACTTGCATATATAATAAAAACTTGTGATTAAATGATTAGGCCAATCAACGAGGGAAACCAAATAAATCACATTCTATCACAAAAATAAAGGGATACCATCTAATTTTCTCACGCTTGTTTTGAAAATAACATAATCATAATAATTTAGTCGTAGAAATACATAAAAGAGAGAAAAATTATAATATATTCAATTAAAATGGTTTGGTTATAATGAATAAGATATCAAATATTATTGTTTAACTTGTCAATCGCATTGAACTTCTATCTAATGTTAGAGTTGAGAAAAGGTAAATACTTACAATAATGAACTCACATTGATGTTTTAGTGTGTAATGTTAATAGAGCTTGGTGCCAGTGTTGAAGTTAGGATCATGGTTAGGAGAGGCGAAACCAAGACTTTAGTGCAAGGAAAATTTTTATGTTTCTTTCAAATACACTATTCATCCTTTTTCTTTCTTTTTTTTAATCTTTGTTTCTTAATTTAACTTTTAATTATGATTTGTAAGTGCATCAAGCTAGTGAAAGACATTCAATGAGTTTATTCTTTAATCTTCAATCTTCATTCTCTAATTTCTTTTTCCTAACTAGTCCTTAAATAGTATTCTCGGGGTAAAGACGATACAAGTTTAATTTTGTCAAGTTATTTTTTCTTATATTTTTTAAGGATTAATAAAAAATATTGATATTTAAGTATAGTGAAATCATGGGTTAATATTCACTAAGCTTTGAGTTAAAAAAAATTGAATTTAAGGGGTAAATGTAAGATTGAAATATGTATAAAGTTTAAAATATTAAAATAAGATGTGCAAAGTATAAAAAAAAAGGAAATAAACTATAAAAATATAAAAATACATACCCTATTGATGTTATTTTCCTCAAGTGAGCAACAACACGTAGCTCTGCCAGTGCTTGGTACAGCAACTCTATGGCATGCATGGCTATTGTTGCTTAGCATACCCAGACTTACTTTAATAGAATAGCAAAGCTAATTATGAGGACTCAAGTGAGTTTAGGGTGTTCATTGTGTGATTGTCACTAGAATTTGCAATCAAGAACAATTCTATCTAAACCTTCGATCACATCAAACACCAATGACATGATAATTTTGCAAATTCTGTAGAAATGTGTGTGAGCACTCTGCAAAAAAGAAAAAAAGAATGTGAGTGCAAAAGATAAGATTAGGGAAAAGTTTTAAGGAGTTTCAAGATTGAACTTTGAATTTCAAATATGAGGGGAGAAGTGAGAAAAGTTGGGAAAATATAATAGGATGAAAACATGAGGTGGATTATTGAAAAACCTTTGATTGAGTTTCAGTTCTTATCATTTTTTAATCAAAATTTAAAATTATAAATAAGTAAATTAATAAGAAGTTGAGATTATTTGAAACGTCAGGTAGCTTTGTTTATTTTAAAAAATTAAAAAATAAATAAAATAAAATAGAATTAAGGACATATGGCATCGTCAATGTGGCATATAATTTTTCTTATTATTTTTAAATTAAAAACTTAAAAGTATAAATAAATAAGTTATTTGGAAGATGGGATAATTTCCTTATTATTTTTAAATTAAAATTTTAAATTTTATTAATTAAGAGGTAATATAGTTTTATTTATTTTTAAAAATTAATATTAAAAATAAATAAAGAATAAAGTCACAAACATGTAGCTGTTAGATACTACTTATAGTTATACTTTTTTAAGAAGTTGAATAATGAAGACATATTTAAAGGTAATGTAGCATTATTTATTTTTTAAATTACAAATTAAAAATAAATAAAGTGAAATATAGTTTGGACATTTGTTGCCACTCGTGATTTTATTTATACACATGCATAATTATTTAAAAAGAAAAATATAATTAAAAAATATAAGACATGTTTTAAGAAATTGAGTGTTAATAATTATTATCTTTTTTAAAATTATTCTTATTAAATAAATTATTTTAAATTTATTTTAAAATAAAATATTTTATTAAATGAAGATAAATATAAAAAATAAAATTAATTTAAAAATAAATAATTATTTTATCAAAAGTAAAATTTAATTAAAAATATTTTATATTTTAAAAAAGGAAATATGATACTTGTGGTTCCCCTTTGCATGCACATTAGAGATACTTTCGAATAGACAAGAAATAAATAAACAAAATCTGTATTTCTGTGCCACGCGCTCGTACGTCTTTCCCCGGCTTCTCCCAACTCCCCAGTGAAGCCATCGTCTCTCACTTTCCTGCAAAAAGAAAAAGGGGAATGAATTTTCTGATTCCGAGACGAGGAGGATCAGGCGGACGAGGGTATATTTTCTTCTTCAACGAGGCTTTCCTGTTTAAGATCTGCGGCCGCCCATGTATTGACGTGCTCCCTTTTGTCTTTCTTCATATGAGCGAAAACTGTTTTCCCCTTCCCTGGATTGGAATTGGGTTTTAGTCGTCTGTGCATGTACTGCTGTGTTGTCTTCAAATTTAAGAACTTCCATTCGAGGTCGTCCTTTTGATTCTATTAACATCTTGGGATATTTTAAGTTCTAGCTTTTTTTTTTTTTAACATCTTGCACGAAGACTTCTTTTGTTCTTCACTTTTACTTAGTCATTTCATTGGACCAATAATTCGTTCGAAGAAAATGTAGACCTGCTGCTTGCGCAAGAACAAATATACCTATCATCTATTATCACTTACTTATGCGTTGTCCTCTTCCTAGCCAAATAAACTTGGTTTTTCCTTCTGGATTTTTCTATTAGGATGATTCCCCTTTTTGATTGGGTTCCCTATATCTTCGCGAAAGTTTTTTTTTTTTTATTTCCTTTGTCTACTCTCTTCTGTCAAGAAGGGATAGATTGAAGGCGTTGTAAAATGTTGCACCCACTTGATATCTGCATTCCTTGATGATATCTGCTCTGATGTCTTTGATCAACAGCAACAGTGGAAATCTATTCTTGCTCTGATGAAGCTGTATTCAAAAGCAGAAGTGCTTGAAGCTACTAACAACTTGATATAACAAGGCTTTGTCTTTGTCCACCTTCTCTTATTGCTTTATCTCTAGCTAGATTGCTTTTGATTCACCAACTGAATGGAGCTATCTGCAACTCCCAGTCTTCTGAAATGCTCTTCACCTCTGCTTCCTAAACCTAGGGTTTGGATTTTCCAGAGAAGTCTTCCACCCGCTTCTGCATGTTTCCACCGCTCCATCTATACAGTAAACCACTGGAATCTCATCCGAATGGATCCTTTCAGAACTATCTCTTCTTCTGCTTTAGCAGAACACAACAGTTCACCTATAACAACTTCCCCTACTGACTCAGGTCTGTTCCAAGCAATGCTTTTTCTTCAGATGAGTATGAAACAGTAGATCAAGATTTTGGAATGCACAGATGATTTTATATGTTTGTTTGGTCATCGTCAGGAGCTAGAATTGGAGAGGTGAAAAGGGTCACTAAGGAAACTAATGTATCGGTCAAAATAAACCTGGATGGTTCTGGGGTTGCTGATAGTACCACTGGAATTCCCTTCCTTGATCACATGCTAGATGTCAGTAATATGGACTCATTTCTTGTTTATATTTTGTTTTGTTTCTTATTGATATAGGATGCATACCAGAAGTGTATAGAGAAAAGTACTCCAAATGAAAAAATCTTAATTGTCAGACTCAGAATCTGATCATGGATTAAGAATTGTCAAAATCTTAATTGAAAACTGAAGTTAATGGCGATTAAGGAATCAAAATTGGCAGGAGAGTATGGCAGTTTGGAAACTAAACTTTCTTGTGATTGTTCAGCAACTTGCTTCACATGGGCTGTTCGATGTGCATGTGAGAGCAACTGGTGACATCCATATTGATGATCATCATACAAATGAAGATGTGGCTCTTGCCATTGGAACGGTACTGCCAATAGCTGCATGATTTAATTTGCTGACTTCTGTAGTATTCTTCTTTTTGAAACTAAATTTATTTGCTATCCAATGTTCAAGCTTTTACGAGTTCATTATCTTACAATGAAGATCTTACGAGACTGATTTACTAGTGTATTTGTAGATTTGATTTCATCCTTTTTATGCACATGGTATCTAAGCATTGGTGACAATTCTAAAAATTATATTGCATATTTTAATCTTTAATGGTGGGCATTTGTGTATTAGCTTAGACTCTTTAAATCCACATTCGCATACTATTAAAATTACTAGGTTTGTGTTACTTTTGTCTTCAGGCGTTGCTGCAGGCTCTTGGTGATAGAAAAGGCATAAACCGGTTTGGTGACTTCTCTGCTCCACTTGATGAAGCACTAATACATGTTTCCCTGGTAAGTTTGTTGGGTATATTATTTCTATGATTAGTTAAGGTTTAAGTTAGAGTAACATATATTTTGAGTGAAAGTGTGAAGCTAATTGAGGATGGGACAAGCTTATGATGAAATAATATCAGACAGGTGCAATATTTAGCAGGGGTAAAGGGATGATAATCTAAATTATTATCCACATAACACTTTACAACTAATTACATGTGGAGACCAGACTACTAATACAAATATAATTCATTCCCAGATGTCCCCAATATAAGTCCTACTTGTCTATTTATAGCTTAGAGAATAATGCTGAGAGACAGCTAATAACAGGACGGAAATAACCAAGAAAGCTAAAACATAGATACTAGTAAGTACGTGGACAGTAGTTGGAAAGTGGGGAAAGTGTGCAGAAGTTGGAAAGTGGGGAACATGGTTCGTCAAAATATTCCTTTAACTACCCATAACTTACGGGTCTCCTTGAAGGCTAACATACCTCGTGACTTCCTGACGTAGGTGGAAGAGGCCTTGTGTGAGAAGCACAGTCCTCCTAGACCAATATGCTAAATAGACTATGAAAACGTTGATGTCGTAATTTTGGTAAGATATGTGCAACTTTAACCTTTATGTTTAATATGTTCAACAATGTTTATCAAGAAGTTTCGGTATCTCTGAAGGTTCTGACATTGTTAGACAATAGAAGTTCCATAAGCTATTGTTCTGAGTCTTACTAATCTTAGCGATTCAGCATGCAATTCTACTGTATTCATCCAAAAAGTTTTAATGGCCATACTGACCACATTCATGAGATGTTCTCCCCTTATAGGTTAATTTATGGTTCACTATAGCAATTTGCTCTTATCTTTTTCAGGATCTATCTGGTCGACCGCATCTCAGTTATAATTTGGACGTACCCACTCAAAGAGTTGGAACATACGACACTCAGGTTGTGCATAACTCTATGAATATTTCATTTTTCCTGTCCTTATTTCATTCAACCACAAAGCCAGAGCTTCAAATTGATTGCTGACTACAACATTTCAGTTGGGCACTTGAGCAAACTAAAAAATTGTTTAGTAGTCATTATCCTGTTACTTATTTCTTTTGCTCTGTGTTTTAATCTTTTGTATCTTAATGCATTCTTGGGACATCCTTATTTGTAGTTGGTGGAGCATTTTTTCCAGTCCTTAGCGAATACTTCTGGTATGACACTTCACATTCGGCAGGTAAAGAATTTTGATTTTCGTCATCTTGTATAGCCATCATAAGCATTTTGTGCGTTGCTTTGAAAATAGAAACTGAAGGCTATGGATATTCTGCTGGACTTATTTGCAAGTATGTCAGGTTGCAAAATAGATAATTAGAGATATTTATATATTATAGATGCATCAATGTGGCAACTTAAATTTTTCTGTTATATTTTCACTATGGTTTATGCATATCCTGCCGGAGTAACAGGACCATAAACTTAGATGGTTTTTATTTCAATTTTAAAAGCTATTGAGTAAATAAATGACCTTTTTTTAACCTAATCTTTAACACAGCTTGCTGGGAAAAACTCCCATCATATTATTGAGGCCACCTTCAAAGCCTTTGCTAGGGCACTTCGACAAGCAACGGAGTATGACCCACGTCGTTATGGGACCGTGCCAAGGTCTAGTATATATGGATTTTTCTTTTAAAAAAAATCATACTAAGGTGGAAAGTATTGGATTATGTTGACCATACCACTAAACTACTATTAAAACGGTTTAATGTTTACTATATTCACCAATGTCAGGATGATCTCCCTGCTGAGATGTTTAATTATTTTCGTATTTTCAGATGATAGAATGCTGGATAATACTCCTTGCTGGAAATAATTCAACAATTTTTCTCATGTTCTAGATCACCAAAACCATTTCATCAAGAGATGAATACTGTAATTCCTGTTTGCAATTTATTATTAAAAATGTCGAGATTCAACATTTGAAACAAAACTTCTGGATCGATCCTCTGCTTCGATGCTTCTATTTTTAAGGCAGAATAACTCATGACAATGTATCGTCTGAAACTTGTCGATTAAGCATATTCAGTAACAATGGATTTTGTTCGTTCGCTTATATTTGTCTATTTCATGCTTTTCGATTCATGTCTCAAGGAGTATAGGAGCTCATCGAGTCTCTCGTCTATCTCACATAGTGTGAAGGACTAATAATATTATGCACCGTTTTGTATGTGCAGTTCAAAAGGGATTCTGTCGCGTACTTGAGAGATGACATTTCTGGGGAGTGTGCATAATTGGATTGAGCTGCCAAGAGCCCAAGATTAATGGTTCTGACGCCTTGTGATAATAGTTACTGTTGTTGTAGTTCGTGAACAATGCAAGTGTTGAAAGGGGAATGATTATAGCGACCGTAAATTATTCTAGCAGTGTGTTATTTTATTGTTTATGCTTTATAGTATCAGTAATCGCTTGGACCTGTCATGTATTTACGGGAGCATTTTTTGTGGGCATGAGTTGCAGTGCTTGTGAGTTGTGAACAACAATGGCCTGTTGGCTGTTGCACGCCTAAGGGTTTATACTTAGAATAAAATTATTCTAGTTCAGATTTATTTAGTTGTTTATTTTTTCATCCTTGATATTGATATTGATGGAACCAGTCTTTAAAATGTCTCGTAGGACAAATCAACTAATCACACAGTACATGAATAGACTAGCAAATTGAAAACTTGAAACGCACGCAAGCAACGATTTCTTTAATGTGACAAGATATGATTTAGTTTAGCTAAATTGATCTTATTAACGATAATATTCGTGTGATAATGTCCTCTATGACAATGAGCTTACGGGTAGAAGGAATTGCATGGTGAGTCCAATCTCTCTTCTCCGTAGCAGTTTGCTTCTAAACTGCCACTTGTCTAAATAATATTATTTTTTTAATATTGTAAAAGTGTATTCCTATTCATTTTTTTTGTGGAACCTATTTAGTGTATTTAAATAATTAATGTCAAAACAAAATATAATTTAAGTATAATTATTGGGAGAATGACAAATAAATTCCTCCAAATAGAGAAATGATATTTTGGTCTCGCAGGATGTGATAATTCCTTATAAGTTTCAAGAAACTTAATTGTCATTAAAAAATTTTATAAAATAACAAAAATGCCTCTTAATTTGAAAAAAAAATGATAAGAGAAAGTTGTAAATGCTTAAATTATTTTAGTCATTTGCTGAACCAAACTTGTAAATTTCAAAATCAAAGTTGTGAGTGAAAAAATTTTTCATTACACTTTGTTAATTAAAGAAAAATGGTAAGAAAAAGTTATAAGTGTCTAAATCACTTCAGTCATTTGCTGAATTAGAGTTGTGAATTTAGAATTAAAATTGCTAAAAAAAACTTTGTTACACTTTGCCTATTTAAAAAAATGACGAGAGAAAGTTGAGAATGCTAAAATCACTTTAGTTATTTGCTAAAGTAGAGTTATGAAGTTCAAAACTAAAGTCGCGAATCAAAAAAATTGTTACACTTTTCTAAAGGAAAATTAATTCATCAATCTTTATAATTTTATCAATTTCTCCAAATAGAGAAAAGACATTTTGATCTTGCAAAATTTGATAATTCCTTATAAGTTTCAAGAAACCTAACTTTCATTAAAAATTTTATAAATTAACAAAAATGCCCCTTAATTTAAAAAAAATGGTGAGAGAAAGTTGTGAATGCCTAAATCACTTTAGTTATTTGCTGAACCAAACTTGTAAATTTTAGAACCAAAGTTGTGAGTGAAAAATTTTTTGTTGAACTTTGTTAATTAAAGAAAAATGGTAAAAAAAATTTGTAAGTGTCTAAATCACTTTAGTCATTTACTGAATTAGAATTGTGAATTTAGAACTAAAGTTATTAAAAAAAAAACTATTACACTTTGCCAATTTAAGAAAAATGACGAGAGAAAGTTATAAATACTTAAATTACTTTAATCATTTGCTGAATTAGAGTTATGAATTTCAAAACTGTAACTGTGAATGAAAAAAATTGTTACACTTTTTTAAAGGAAAATTAATTCACCAGTCCTTATAATTTTATCAATTTTGAATTAGGCCCCCTATTTTTTTTTACCTCTTTTGTTAGGCCGTGCAATTTACTCTGTTAGAGACAAATGTCCTCTCGTTAATTTCTACTCCAAACACCATTTATGTATGCTGACAGAGAATGATGTGGCATTGAAGAACATGGCACCAAATAATTTTTCCAACCTTGCCTCTCCTACTCTTTTTTAATGCAAAAGTGCTAAGGTTTTCTCTCTCTATAGAGTGCACTATGTCAACGATGGTGTTGATGATGTTGAGAGGGAGAAGAAGGACTCCTTTAGCTGGCTCTACTTCTTCACCAACATTGGCACTCTTATCACTATTGCTTCTGTGTTGGCATGCATTATGACGGTGGCATTGGCCATTGCGTTGTCAGCGCTAGCCTCCTTCCAAATCCCTTTAGCATCTCTCTCCATCATTCCCTTAGCCTTCAAACTTACAGGCAATAGATGAGGCCCCATTTAGCTTCAGCTAAGGCACACCAACCTCTTCATCTCCATCTTCTTTGTTCCCTTCACGGGGGTCATTGAGCTCGCTAGTCTTAAGTTTGTGCAAAATTATAAATTATTATGAAATGAAAGAAAAGTAAAGGACAAATAAAGGAATGAGAGAAAAGCACGTGGGAGGGAGGGAGAGCCTTGAGTTGCTTATAGCCTTACATGGGAGAGAGAGGGAGAGAGACTTTGGACAAAAATTGTCATTATTCTTCCGATATAATATATAAGTCATTTTTTAAAAAATAATTTGGTTCACTTTATAAGTCATTTGTTGATGGAATTATTTTATTTTAAATTAAAATTCCTAAATTACCCTTAAAAAGTGAGAGAGAGAGAGAGAGAAAAATAAAAAAATAATATTATATAATTGACTTACTTTTTGCTTTTTACTTGACGGTTATGTTTGAAATTTCATTTACTTTTATTCCTTATACTTTTGTTATATTAGTATTGATGAGATTAGTAAAAATAACTTATAAATAGGATTGGAGGAAGTATGTGTTACTTATTCACATGCATTAACAGTACTTGAAGCATTTTCTAACGAAGGGAATGAAGCTTTTAACGGATGAAAGTGTAAGGATCCAATTAAAAAAAAAAGAATAGAAGGACTTGATTTAAAATGAGGTAAAATTATAGGGACTAACATATTAATTTTATCTTATTTTAAATGAAAGGGTATTTTTCTTATTTTATTAAAAATTTTAATGACAATTAGATCCCTTAAAACTTAAAAGGTATTTATATTTTATGAGAATAAATTATCATTTTTCTATTTCAAAAAAAATTATTTGTTATTCCTTCATTATTATTTACTAATATATAGCCCATGCCATGCATGGAATATTAAAAAAATAATTTAAATAAATAATGAGATTTACTTTAATATTAAAATGAGTTGTCATTAAACAAAAATGATTGACTTATAAATTAAATTTAGAGACAGCATAAATTGGTTCTAAATGTCACTTTATAGATATTTGAATAATATTTTTCTATAAATAATATTTAAAGTTGTGTTTGGTGTGTTTTTAATAAAAAATCAATATTTACAAGTCTTGCTTAATATGTGCTTTAGATTCATAAATGAACATAAGTTTAGGAAAGTATAACTAACATTATAAAGATTTTGACATTGATTTTAATTTATCATCACGATGACAAAAGATGACATAATTTAGAATTAATATTGTAAATGTTGAATGGTAAAGTATAGTCCAACAATATACTCCAACTTTTAGGAGATAAATCCCTCTTACCCTCAAGGGATCTTGACATCACTCTGGCAACAATCAAATAAATTGTGTATCATTAACATATATTGCAAAAAAACAAAAGAATTATCAATATATGTTATGAATATGATTTGAAAAGTAAAACATCTTTTAGTCATTTTGTTCTTTTTTAAAATATCATCTTCTCAAAAGGTCAATTCCTTGCTGCATAAATCAATCTTCTTATTGAGAGAATATCAAGATGAGCAATATATAATTTAAAGTATGAAATTATTTTTGGTAAATATTATCATATTAACAAAATTGTGGATTGGAGAGACAACAATATTAATTAAAATATCATTTAGTCAAGTGATGCATCATTATTGCAAAATGAAACTTAGTATATATAGGCAAGTTATATATTCATTAGAATAAAACTATGCAAACTTTCTTTGCTTCTTGCATAGGGATAAGTCAAAACCTCATCTTAAAGGCTAAAACTTTATTATGGCATTGCTTTAATATAAGCATGCAAAAAATTAATAGAATTTTTGACAATTTTAGAGGAAAAATTGAAGACATCAAGCAATTTAGGTGATAACTATGAATATATAACTCTATGGCAAATAACATGAGCAAAAATGAGGGATTAAAAAGAAAAATAAAGTCACCTATCTACAATATTGATGAATATATTATAGTTGTTGTATATCTTTCGAATATTAGGGCCACTCATAAGATGTTGATATCGTTTGTAAATACAAATTATAAATAAGAAATTATAAATTTAAGATGGATTTATGAAAATACAAATATGGAGGGCTAACTTGAAATAATGTTGCAAAAGCTTATAATAATGCAAAGGACATAGTGAAGAAAAATAAGATGAGAGTGCACAATCAAAACATGAAATTCAATTGTGAATCAATTGTAGAGTATTGAAAATGGACTTATTTAACAACAACAAATTTGTATGCAATGAAAATGAATTCATCAAGAAAAAGAATATCATAACATATTATAAGAGAAACACTATTGAGAAAATGAATAGAGAAGAATAAGAAATTGTTAAATACGGCAGGCGAGAAAAAGAAAAACAAAGGAAGATGAAGGAAGGAAGGTTTCAAATCCAATCTCCTACCACAAACACAATTGAGATAGTGATTTCATGGAAGAGCAATTTTGAATTAAATATAAAAATATAGGAAGTGGTTTTTGATTGTTTAAGAAGATAATAGGAGGTGATTTTTGACAGTTTTTAAAAATAATTATTTTTAAATTTAAAATTTGAAATTTAAAATAAGTTAATGGGATGTTAAGTTAATTGAGAAATGTAGGAGTAAGGTAGTTTTATTTATATTTTAAATAATGAATAATAAAATAAAAACATCAAAGACATGTGACATCACTAGACTTAAGTTTGTGATTTTTTTTAATTATAAATTTAAATTACAAATGATTTTTTAATTATAAATATGAATTATAGATAAGTTAATAGAAAATTGAGAGATAATAGAAAGATGTGGGGGTGAGGTAGTTTGGTTTATATTTTAAACAATGAATAATAAAACATAAAAATATCAATGACACATGGCACTACCAAATTTAAGCTTGTGGTACATTTTTAATTATAAATAAGTCAACATAATTTTTTAATTATAAATATGAATCGTAAATAAGTTAATAGGAGGTTGGAAAATAATGGAAAGGCGTGTGAGTAAGATGGTATTATTTATATTTTCAAAATAAATAATAAAACAAAGAAAATTAATGACACATAATATCACCATACCTAAGCTTGCGATTCCACTTATATATATACGGGATTTTTTAAGGAAAATGATAATTAAAGCCCTTTGAAATATATATATGATAATTTGATTCTTTAAAATGCCGCAATTCCCCTGAAGTCTCTAGTAACTTTTCTATCATTAATGAATTTATTTAAATTATCAAATTATTTTTATTAAAAATAAATGATTCACAACTTTCTTTATTATATTCACAATAATGCAACAATAAATAATTAATTTAATATGTGAAGTTGTGATTTGCTGTTGCGAATTTAAGAAGAAAAGTTGTGAATATAAAAAGAAGAGTGGTGAATCATTTATTTCTAACAAGAGCAAGTTGATAATTTATATAAATTCATTAATGACAGAAAAGTATCTAAAAAATTTAGGAAAATTATGACATTTTAAGAAACCAACTTGTCATTTATATATTTCAGATGAATTTTATTGTCATTTTTTCTTTTTTAATTATAAATATAAATTATAAATAAATTAATAGGAAGTTGAGAGATAATAGAGGGATGCGAGAGTAGGGTAGTTTTTTTTATATTTTAAATAAAAAATAAAAAATATTAATGACACGTGGCATCCCTAGATCTAAGCTTATGATTCTACTTATATATATATATATATATATATATTATATTAGAGCCGTCAATTAGTACGGGCTCAGCCCTTTTAGGCTCAAAAAAATTGAGGACCGAGCTTCTATTTTACTTTTAAAAAAGTAAATTGAGCTCAAAAGGGCTGGCCCTTTTAAACCCGAAAATAAAAGGGCCGGCCCTTTTAGGCCCTTTTATTATTTTTTTTAAAAATTATAATATAAAAAAATAAAAGATTAAATACATAATTCAAAAAATAAACATATTAAATACATTCATCTATCCCTCATTTATTTATTAAAATTTAGTTGATAATATTAGTTAATTTAATTTTTATTGGTATTTACTTTGTTGTTACTATTTCATATTAGACCTAAATATTTTAGTTTTCTTTATTGTTGTGGTATAAATTGATTTAAATTTATTTTCTTAAACTTAATTTTATGAAAAATAACTTTTTTTATAATTATAAATATATTTTTTATAATTTTTAATTGAAAAAATAATTTTAAAAAAATAGGGCCGAGGCCCTGAGGGCTAAGGCCAAGCCTTATAAAAGGAAATCCTGACATATAATCAGGCCTATTAGGGTCAGCCCTTTTAGGCCTTGGCTCTTCAAAGGCAGCCCTAATTGACAGCTTTAGATTATATAGAGTTTGGTTATGCTATATTACTCATAATTTATACTTCTCTCATTTAAAAATGTAAGATATTTTTTAAGGGATTGAATGTTTAAAAATATAAGACATTTTTAATCTTTTAATGTATAATAATTATCTTTTTTTTAAAAGTGCCTCTATTGAATAGATCACTTTATATTTTTTTAAGGCTAAAACACCCTATTAAATAGGAATGAATATGAATATGGTTAGTTTAAAGATAAGTAATTACTTTATTGAATGTGAGATTTGGTTAAAAATGCTTTACATTTTTTAACATAGGGAGTATATAGTTTAGCTTCTTGTAAATTTTATATTTTATATACAAATTATTATAAATGGAAAAAATGATAATTAGAGACTACATGAAAATATTAATTTACAATACAAATCCTAAATTATTGAAATATCAATAATAAATCATGTTCTTTACTTGTAATTAAAAAATGCTAATAGCTAGTTGAAAAATCAATAAAGTATACATGAAATAATTCATAATGTTAGTTGAGAATTTATAAGACTCCTTCATGAATCTTAATTTTTGGTTATCAATATACAAATAAATCACTTAAAAAATAAATAAAATATATTTAAAATTATTTGTAATATTAGATAAAAATTTATAAGCGTTAGTTGTGAATTGCAAGCTAACATGATTTTTTTCTTGTTAATATTTAGATAAATCACTTAAAAAATTAATAAAAAATACATGAGAATTTTTGTAATATTAGTTGTGAATTTGCAAAAATTAGTTGTGAATGTCAAGCTAACCAAAAAAGATATTTTATTATAAATAAAGATTATAGTCTGTTATTAATATTTTGATAATTTAGTGTTTATAATTGTAATTAACATTGGAGTTTCTAATTATAAGTTTCCCTAATAAATATATTGCTACAATAACAATAGGACCTTTGAACTCATAATTTATGACAACTAGATTTTTGATAAAATTTTTAAAAAAATTATTATAAATATTAATTTAAATAGTTATAAATTTAAGAGCTATAAATGCAAATAAAATATTTAAATTTTAAATATAAATTTTAATTTTCTATTAAAATCTTTATTTACAATTGTTTAAAATAATATTTAGACAAAACTATACCTAAACCTAGAAAAGAAATTTTATTATTCATAGTTATATAAAATTCATAAAATACTCTCAAATCTCAAATGATATGCATTTGTAACTTAATAAAATATATTTATAATTAGATAATGAGTATTTACAACTATCATTTTTCTTTATAAATTATAAATGTTTGTTATTTAATTGCAAATATCATTTATCAAATTGTAAATGTACATGATTTGAGATTTGAAAATATTTTATAAATTTTATGAAATTTATTAATAATAATTTTTTTTGTGAGACTTTAGTATAACTTTACCTAATATTTAATTTATTTTTTTAAAAAAATTGTTGAAAATTCAACTGTCATGAATTCATAGGTCCAGGACATGATTATCTTTCTCCCGGCTGAAAAAGGTGTTACCTTAATTGATAAAATTTAAAAATAAAAAGAAACGGAAGACTATGAGATAATTCTAGCTTCTTGGTTCTCAAGATAGGTGGCGTCCGGGCGGCAGGATCTCTGGAGATTTAGCTTTTATTTTTAGCTGAACTAGGTCGAAATTTCGTTAAATTGGCTGGCATTTTCAGGGCCTATTAATTCGTGCATTTGCGAAGACAGCAGAAACTTTAGAATTTCTGTATTTGCAAAGTAGAAAAATTTCAGATTCCATGTGGTAGTTTGTAGAGGTGTTATCTTCGTGGATTGAATAAGTGCATTGGTACTTGTACTTTTTCTTTGTTCGCAGACTTTGGAGTAAGCTATCAGCATGGCAGTGGAATGTTCTGGAATTGCCAAAGATGTTACGGAAGTGAGTTTGTGTACCTTGATGGTCTCTGGTTTCTCTTTCCCGGGCTTTTCTCTTATTTATAGGTTCTGTCTTCTTTTCTTTTTTTAGTTGATTGGCAAAACCCCAGTAGTATATCTTAATAAGATTGTGGATGGTTGTGTGGGCCGGATTGCTGCCAAACTGGAATTGATGGAGCCATGCTCTAGTGTTAAAGACAGGTAGAGGTTTCAGTTTTATACCGATAGAATCTCTAGTTTCATGTTTCTTCTAGCATTACTGTTTTAACGTTCATGAATAGACATAAGTTCCTGTGTTTGATAGAATTCTTGGTTCTATGGTATCAATATGACATACAGGATCGGTTATAGTATGATTGCTGATGCAGAGGAAAAAGGTCTTATCACACCCGGAAAGGTTGGTATACCTTGATAAAGAACCCTCCCATGGGCTGGGCTTCAAAAAGCCAAGCTTGTAATAATAAAGTACAAGTTTGTGCCTTGGAATAGTATCAGTTGTGAACAAAATGCTGTCACGTTATCTCTTGCGTTACCCTGCAAGTTTTAACTGATGTTTCATATGCTGGGAAGTGGCAAGTTGTTAGCTCAACTATTGATAACTATTCCTTTTTGTGGATGTGTGCTTCTTAATTTGCTGAAGAGTATCCTCATTGAACCAACAAGTGGTAATACTGGCATTGGATTGGCCTTCATGGCAGCAGCAAAAGGTTATAGGCTTATTATTACAATGCCTTCTTCAATGAGTCTTGAAAGAAGAATCATTCTGAAAGCTTTTGGGGCTGAGGTAGTACTGACAGACCCTGGAAAGGGAATGAAAGGTGCAGTTCAGAAAGCTGAAGAAATATTGGCTAAGACACCTGATGCCTACATGCTTCAACAGTTTGAAAACCCTGCCAATCCCAAGGTATCTAGGCATTTGTTCCATAATCGTTGTGATGGATGCTCGACAAATGCTGTTTACAATATTTTATATCATTTCAGATACATTACGAAACCACTGGCCCAGAGATATGGAAAGGCACTGGAGGGAAAATTGATGCACTTGTATCAGGGATAGGCACTGGTGGTACAATAACAGGTGCTGGGAAATTTCTTAAAGAACAAAATCCCAACATCAAGGTTAGCTTATTTGTTTGGTGTGGTTAGCAGAATATCTGCACATGCATTTCTAAGAAAATGGAGGATAACTTTTCTCTAATGCCCCCGTGTCTTTAATTTGTGTTCTCATTTTTTCCCTTAATCCTTTGTGTAGTTGTATGGTGTTGAACCTGTTGAAAGTCCTGTGCTCTCTGGAGGAAAGCCTGGTGAGTTATAACTAGTGTTATGCTCCTCTGTAATAGTTGACCTTTTAATATTCTATTGTATACAAGCCATAACAAGTTTTCCATGCACGGTGCTTTTTTTAATTTGATTGAATAACATGTACGTATTTATGTCCCATGGGATTAGAGTATATTAGCCTTTTAAATGTGGTTTCCCATGAATTACTTTTCAATGGAACCCCATCCCAGTTCCTAACCTTCGGGAAGGAGTGGGTTTCTTCTGTCTTACTTAGCTATATTTTTAAGCAGTTTGTTTTCCTGGTAACAGAACAATGATTGAATTTATTCTATTGAATTTTTATTTAAACCAATTCATGGTCATTTGACCACAATGACTCCTGGACTATTCTGTTCTTTCATCAACTTAATAGTTATCCTGTTAGACAATAAGATGGTTCCTCTTTGGCCTTTTTGTTTGTTATCCCCTCTGGTAATTTCTATTCTATTAGCAGTTTTGAATAATAGAATATTAAATTTGAGAGTAGAACTTGCCTCTTTAACTGTTGCTAATGTGAAATTTGCCATGTGAATGCCTAGGCCCGCACAAGATTCAAGGTATTGGTGCTGGTTTTATACCTGGGGTGCTAGAAGTCAGTCTTCTAGATGAAGTTGTTCAAGTAAGTCTTTACAACTTCTGACCTATGATTACATTGCTCAAAAGTTCGCGTGATCAAACTTAATACACCTTTGATTTATAATGATGGATTTGATACTGGTGGTTTTTTGTTTTATCATTTTGGAATCATTGAGGCAATGTTGACTTAAGCAAAGCTTATTTTTGTACCAATGAAGCTTTTCCCATTGGAGCACTCATTAAATCAAATTCTAATGGTATATTTTTCTAAAATCTGCAGTATGATTATTCCCTTCTCTGGTTTTGTCCCTAGTTGGATGGCTAGTCAGACCTAGCATCAGGTGCCCAAATGCAATTATGAACAATTTATGATGGGATATGCAATAATGTTATAATACTAATCTATGACAATTCTTCTAACCTGTTATGACTTGATTTTGTGTTTGATTCAAATTAAGACTTATTAGTGGTTTAGTTTGAAAGAAAAAAAAGAAGACAGAGGTTGAAGTAATATAAAGATCATCCTTTTGCTTTTTTTTTTTTTCCGGACAGTAGGAGCATTATGTGATTTGTTAAGCTTAAGATATCTCATGTGATTTGGCAGATATCAAGCGATGAAGCTATTGATACTGCAAAGCTTCTTGCACTGAAAGAAGGCCTATTTGTAAGTTCTGAACCTCTAGAATCTGCCAGCAGGGAGCTTGAAGCAGTTCTTCAGGGCCATATTTTATTGAACTTCTTTCTTTTTTCAATTTTCCCCCCTTTAATTATTTTCTTCCATTGAACCTCGTTGGGTATTGTAGGTGGGAATTTCATCTGGAGCTGCAGCAGCGGCTGCAATTAAGATAGCAAAAAGACCAGAAAATGCTGGAAAGCTTATTGTAGTAAGTTGACTGACACTTCTGGCGGACAGATTTATTAGTCACATAGGTGCTCGTATATTTTCATAGATAATGCATATTGACAACCGGAACTTTTGATCTCTTTGACCACATTAACATGTGAAAACACTGGTTTTGAAGAATGGATCGGTCAAGCTTACCTTGGACTGCTTAGCTGAAATAATTAACAGATGAATTAATGATGTTCCAGTTTTTCTAGAGAAGAATTAGCAGATCGGATAATCGCGTGCTTCCAAGTTATTGGTTGCGATGCCTTTGATATGTGATAAATATATGTGCTAAATAAACATTATGATCTTGTTTGCCCTATTGTGTGGTTACGTGTCTTCTATGAATGGTTCTGAGGTGGACCAACTATTTCGCAAGTTTTGTTACTTGTGCTCTGGGCAGAATTGATCATTAGCACCCTTTGTTAATGATATGACTGATCTAATGTTACTATTATCATAAATAGATGTGTGGATACATCATCACTGATGGGTCGTACTGTTTATTTATCATTTATGAATCTTGCACCTATTCGGCATTTATGGTGTGGTTTGATATGGATGCAGGCGGTTTTTCCAAGCTTTGGTGAGAGATACTTGTCCTCTGTGTTGTTTGAGTCCGTCAGACGGGAGGCAGAAAGCATGACTTTTGAGCCATAAAAGTTCCGTATTTGAAGGCTTTGAAGGCATGGGTTCTGATCTTGGTGCAAGGCCAATAAAAATTCGTAAAATAACCATAGCCAAAGGCCCCAAAACTTTTGTGGTGTCATATTTTGATTGCCTTTGGCAGTTTGAGTCTGCTTGAATATTGTTAGTTGTAATCTTCTTTTCTTCTAAATGCAACAAAAGGGAACGTGGCATAAAAACAAAACAAAACAAAACAAAATTGTGATCCTTGAATATTACTTGTGAAATTACTTAAAGCTTAAAAGAATGAATGATCGAAATGAAAGGGAGGTTAACATTCATAGATGATGACATACACGCTGATAACCTCCAGCAAGACTAAGCACCGTGAAATGCTGACCTCAATTATTGGATTATGGTCCTAAGAGTCATGAAAGCTTCACCCACTTCACTCATTTTTCCTTACCTTTATTTGGAGGCAGAGCTGCCGAACTTCCAATTATTGGAGATTATTAAAGTCCTCTTTCCAAGCGCTCCCCTTCTCATGGGTCTAAATTTATGAACTTCATACGTTAAAATCACAAGTACAACAATTATCAACGAGTTTGAGCGAATAGTATTCTTCTACGTTCAATAAAAGATCCGATCAAGTCATATTAGAGGCCTGCTTGTTTAAATTTAATAAAAAATTTATTTTAATTAAACTACATAAAGAGTTACTGAGATGACATGAAGTGTTGTTGGAGGGAAAAAAATTCCCATCTTATTTTGATGAGTTGATCAAAGTCACATATTAAATTTTAAGATAATTGGTTTTTTGAAGCTATCCTTGATATGTTGCTCATCTTTACGATTGGTCAACTGGATTTTTGTAAATTTCTGTTTGTAGAGCGGGCAAAGAGATTTGTCTTGATGCATTTTTCCAAACACAAATAGTGAGTTGAGTAGATAAGTGACTTGCTTTCCACCGCCACCACCTGCATGCCACCCTGGAGCGCACTCACTCTATAGCTTAACGTAAAACATTAAAAATCCTAAATGTCAACTGCATGGAATTTATTGCCATTGATTCAAGGCTATCTTTTCTTCAATTTTATCGGCCCGTGCATTTCTTCTTGGGTTATGAGTGAATATCAGCAAAAAGTTAAACATAGTTTCTCCCCATTCTATACCCTTTATTTAAAAGTTGATTAAAAGCAAAGTACTTGCGGTATTCTAATGCTGAGAAAAAAAATTATGAAAACTACAATTGCCCTGGGGGCCCCTTAACTTACCAGTGGTTTCATGTTGGCGATGGGTTCGTTGAGTTGTGCTTTTGTTTTGATAAATGCTCCCATCTCAGTTTCAATTTATAAGATATTTTTTTAGATTGATAATCAAAATATAAAATATGTTAATGAAAATAATACTTCATTAATTATACGTGTTCTAATATTACATTTCCTTCTTTATAATCATATCCTCTCACTCTCTCTAATATTTCAGAGAAAAAATTATATTAAATGAAAGATAATTTTAAAAATTTATATTTATGTTCTCTAAAATAAAGTATAAAGTGTATTTAATAAGTTTTATTAATATTTATAATTTTATCAAAAAGCATCTTACCAATTGGAATAGATGAGGTATTGTTTATTATGCTATGAGTTCACGTATGTTAACTTTCTTTTGATTTGTTTTTTTAAAACTATAGTTGACACTTGATATGCTCCTTTAGTTTTTATTATAAAATATCTAACTACCTTACTAGAATCAAAGAAGTGTTCAAGTCATTAACTTTGTTTGAAAATAGAATAAATTTTCAATTTATCCATATTTAAATAATTTTTTTTTTAAATTTTCATTGCATTCTTCCTTATAATTAATGAGTTTAAATATGAGTAATATTAAAAAAATGTGATTGATGCCCCCATCAAGTGCCTTATATTAAAGATCAAATAATTCTTTTAAAATGTACCTTATAATATAGATTCGAGGGTAAATGTTAACAAATAAACAAGAATATCAATCAATGGCATTAAGTATGGATAACTAATTTACAGTTTTCAAAAAATCTTAGTTAAAATCATAAACTATAATTATACCCTTATTAAATATCATATATAAGTGTCTTGATAATAATAATTGAAATTCTAATGTATCATTAAAAAAAAGAAATAAATTAAGTTTGGTATAGTTGGAAAAACAATTTTAAAATTTACTTAATATCTTATATTTTGAATTAAATATGATTTTTTAGAAGATGTGTTATTGTGGTTTGAAAGAAATAAGTAGGATAAGTTATTGTTACTTTTCACATATGAACTATCCCAGCGTTACGTATAAAATATATTGGTACAGCAAAGATTAAAAAAAATTCGTTCGAAGAACGAATTAATGCACGATACTTACTAATTTGTTATGAAATGTAAGAAATTCAAGGTCTAAATTTATTTGGGGAGTTATGAATGCTTGTGAGAAGATTAATGTAAAATAAGAAGTTATAAATCGCGAGTATAGAAGATTGAGGTTTTGAGACATAAGTTCTAAAAGTTTTGGTTGAAAAAGTCATTCAACCTCACGGTAATCCATACATCTAACCAGTTTTCTGAGATCGCAAACTTGAGTTGGCGCTGCAGATGCCATGCCAAACAAGCAATTACACCGTACTTAATTGTCATTAGTGTGAATGTTAATTATTATAGAACATAATAATCTAGATTGATGTAGATTCAATGTAGGACGATGATACAAGGAAGGTGGAACGTACATAGAGATGCAGATTGCAGACTCTCTTCAGTTGAAGACATGCATGTTTAATATTTTAATAGAAAAATTAATTACGTGACAGATATTTCATCAAAAAAGCACATAATGTGATTGATTATTTTATCCTCTTGAATACACTCTTATCAAATTGTTTTGGGTTTTATCATTTGAATAAACATATATAATCTATTTTGTTTGTTTTTCCTTTAGTGTAAGAAATTTTTAAATTTAGACTTGTCATGTAATTTTTTTTCTTTTTGAAAAAAAGAGGTGCAGATTGCTGAGTATCGTGGAGGGCTGGAGGCAACAGATGATGCAGTGATGCAGTCTTTTCTTTCTATTTTGTATTTATTTATTTGTTTGTTTGTTTGTTTTTATTTCTTTTTCCTTCTCTTTTCTGGAGACGCATGCGTTTGCCCTTCTGCAGTTCTGTGGCCTTTGCCCACTTGCCCCTACCCCACAACCCCTCGTCTTTATTAATTTATCTCCAAGACATCCATTAATCATAATTTTTAAAAATTTATAAAGAATTAATTTATATGTCTCAAACTTTTATACAATTTATGCATTAAAGAAAGAGGAGATAGTGTTATCACTCAACCTTAATTCTCCTCGCCTGTATTGACATTAATAAATTGGAGTGGTAATTAAAATACAACTTTTAATCTATATTTTTTTGTCCTCAATCATTCATTGGGTCCCCAAATTTTTAACGCAAATAACCCTATTCCTATAATTTCTCAAAAATATTTTAATTTTTATCATTTTTAAATCCAATGCAATTTAGGCTATATAACTTTTACTCTATAATTATTCACTTAATCATCCATTTAGTTTCCAAATTTTAAGTGAAGTAAGATATTTTTCAGAAAGATATATCATTTTAAAATATAATATATTTTGATAAAAATTAAAGTTTTATTAATAGTATTTTTTTAAAATCACTTTTTTCATATATTTTATTTTTTAACATTATTTTATTAAGAAAATATTAAATAAAAAGTATTTTTAAAAAATAAAATTATAATTTATATTTAATAAAATTTTTAATATGTAAAATTTTATATAAAATATTTTATAATAAGATAAATATTTTTTTATTATAATCCTACGTCATTAATTAGAGGGCACCATGATCATGGAAACTATCAAACAGAAAAGAAGCACATCTCTTACAGCGAGTATTTGAATGTAAGAACTTTCAATCAATACATATCAGCTATACTCTAGCATGTGATTTTTCAGGCGGGGAAAAAAGGAAAACACAGACACCTGTAATGTGAGCAGCCGGCAAATTCCTTGACACGTCTGACGTCTCCCATGTGGTGGTCACTCCCTCTGTCCCACCATCCTCTTTCCCTCCCACTGTGCTTTTCTGATCTAACTTCGATTTCCGGGAAAGTTCTCTTCCACAGTTCAACCCCCGTCCAAACATTCCCTCCTCCTTTCCCCTTATCCTGCGCCCCCACCTCAATATCCCTGCGCATTTTAGCACCCTCCATCACACGTGTCCCCTCATTCCCCTTCCACGTCATCTCTCCCCCCTTCTCCTCTCCTTTAGCTCTCGTCTCGCTCCCCTCTCTCCTTTCATCTTCTTTCTTTCACCATTCTTAGGGTTTCTTTTTCCTCCCGTCCCTCCGACTACTGTGGTGCAGTTCACCCAGTATGGGGTCCATCCCCGATCCCGGCGAATTGACCGAGCTGGCTCAGCCCAGCTTCGACGACTTCCAGAGGCAGACTTCCCTCATGACCAGCTGCACGCTTCTCTGGAAGGAGCTCTCTGACCACTTCTCCTCCCTCGAGCAGGACCTGCTCAAGAAGTCTCAGGCCCTCAAGTCCAAGATTCAGACTTTTGACCACCAGACCAAAGAGTCACTTCACCAGCTGGAGAGGCGCGAGGTCACCATCGACGGCAGCGTCGAGATCGCGCTGGGAAATGTCGACAAGAACAAGGAATCAGCTCTGTTGTTGCTTCAGAAAGGGGGCTTGAGGCGTGATGATGATGATGAAAATGGAGAGGTTGATAATGGGGACGGCTTGCTACTGAAGTTGAAATCCTTCTGCCTCAGAATGGATGCCTCGGGATTCTGGGGTTTTGTCGTCGGCAAGAAGAAAGAATTGGAGGCTCTGAGGGCTCAGATGCCCTTGGCCCTGGCTGACTGTGTCGATCCGCCAAAGTTCGTTTTGGAAGCGATATCGGTGGTGTTCCCGGTGGACAAGAGGGGCGACAAGACCGAGAAGAACAACAATAACGATTTGGGCTGGGCTTGCGTGCTGATGCTGGAATCGCTTATCCCGGTTACGGTGGATCCTATGATTGGAAAATCCAGGCTTTTGGTGACGCCGACCGTGAAAGAACGAGCCAAAGAGATTGCCGAGACTTGGAAGGCGAGCTTGGAAGAGCGTGGTGGAATCGAGAATGTGAAGACACCTGATGTGCATACGTTCTTGCAGCATTTGGTGACTTTTGGTATCGTCAAGAAGGAGGACTTGGATTTGTATAGGAAGCTTGTGATCGGTTCCGCATGGAGGAAACAGATGCCCAAACTTGCTGTTTCCCTAGGTCTTGGTGATGATATGCCTGGTATGCTTGTTACTTTATCTAAGTGCCAACAATATCCTGTTCCATGCCCATACTACATATATGTTTTCTTCCTTCCCTCATGATTCGTTATATATTTGGTCACATTTTCTCTAATGCTTGATCGCAAGAAATTTCATTGAGTTGATTGTTGAACTGTAAGGCTACAAGCGTAAAACGAACAATTACTACAAACTTGTCTAAATTTACGGGAAAAGGATGAAAACGTACTCCAGATTTCAGTGACCAAATACTCTTTAGTGATGGCCTTAAGATGAGAACAACTGGTATTTTGCGGCGCTGGGCCGAGATGCTACTTTAGCTTCTTTTCTCATCTTCTGGGTTAAAAGATATAGTTTCAATTTAAAGTTCTGAGCTCATGCGGGGGCACATATTTTGCATGCTTGTTCAATGAGTGTCTTTGGTTCTGGCCTGTTTGACAAATGACGAATGATTGATCATGATCATTCCTTTGCCAATTGAAGTCGTTAACTTGCTGTTGGCCATTCTTTTCGGATGTCAGTGACCATTTTTCTTGAGCGATTTATACATGTCTGATTGTTGTCTTTGATGGAAACCTGTTCTTGATTGATGACATGAAAGGTTTAGGGAAAGGAAATTTCTCGTTATGTTGTGAATCATTCAAAACTCTCGTTATGTTGTGAATCATTCAAAACGTATGTGTAACTTGACTGATGATCTCTTTGATTTACACCTGATATCTTTTGGAGGCTTTGATTCATTTAAGGAGGTAGCATTAAAGCATGCTCATGGTTTCAATTATTTTTGTAACCTTTTACATTATAATTCTGGAAATTCACATTAAAATTGAGTGTTTCTGATGCTGTTACTGTCGCGTAAGTTGGATTATTATTATTATTATTATTATTATTTTTGTTACCCTGCTGGTCATGATGATGCTGAGCACAAAGTTTCTTTACTTTTCCTGCATAAGGAGTATCAAAGTTGTAGTCGTAGGAGCTGGATTCTGGTTGTAAATAGTGAACCATTGCTGTTTTGTTAACAAGTCGAATCAATTATCAAGTTGGGCAATGGGGAACAATTTAAATGGTCAATATGCATCTAGGCATGCTTTTACATGAACTTATTCCTTGTTGGCCTGTGTTTTGTGTGTATTGATCTATTCATCCAGTCCAATATTCAATACAAATGTCTATGTTGCTTGCAGATTTGATTGGAGAGTTAATCAGCAAGGGCCAGCAACTTGATGCGGTACACTTTACATATGAAGTAGGTCTTGTGGAAAAGTTCCCCCCCGTTCCACTGCTGAAGGCATTTCTGAAGGATGCAAAGAAGGCTGCAGCATCTATTCTGGAAGATCCTAATAATGCAGGCCGAGCTGCGGTAATTTCCTTATTATTTTCATTAGTAATATATTTCTTATCAATGTTCTGTGTAATTCACGAGTTCAATGTCACCAAAGCAAAACTTTCATCAATACGAAATAAAAGTAATGTCACTTTTTCCTGCCTATCTTCACATCAACTATTAAGGTCTGGCCCAGCTGCATGGATAAGATTTCTGTTCCCTTTACCTAGTGAATTTGTAGTTGAAAGGTGGCTGGCTGATAGTCTGCTTTCTTTTCTTTTTTTTTTTCTGTAAAAAGTATGCTGTGCAGATAGTGTGTATTTGAAACTCTTGTCTCTGTTTGTGGTGTTTGCCTTAGTGTTTATATTTTTAGGACTGAATAACAGGATTTTTCTCATCTGTGTGTGCAGCTTTTTTGATTAGTTGAACAAATAAGCATGGTACATTTTTATGCCTTCTGGGCTTTTAAAAAGTGGGTTTGCTGTTTGCACTGACTTGTATTGTGGTTAAAATCTTCCCAGTACCTAGCTGCCAGAAAAGAGCAGTCTGCACTCAGGGCTGTCATCAAATGCATTGAAGAGTACAAACTTGAGGGTGAGTTCCCTCCTGAAAATCTGAAGAAGCGTCTTGAACAATTGGAGAAGGTCAAAATCGAGAAGAAGAAACCAGCGGCAGTCCCTGCCAATAAAAGAACACGAGCAAGCAATAGCAATGGAGGTCCAATGCCTCCAGCCAAAGCTGGCCGTTTGACCAATGCATATGTATCTTCATTCCCTGCTGCTCCCACATTTGTCAGGTCTCCATCTCATGGGCAATACCCAGCTGCTCTTCCACAATATCCTTCTCCACCTCACATGTATGGCAGCAGAAGCCCCCCTGCGAATCCCTATGCTTATTCACCCGAGGCTGCACCAGCTCTCACAGGATCATACCCGGCTGCTCCCATGAATTATCCTGCATATGGTGGCTACGGTAATGGTTTGGCACCAACTTATCAGCAGGCTTACTACCGATAGTCATGACAACCCTTCGAAGATAGTAACCACTGATATGACAAACTTTGATCTTATTTACTTTCACAATGCTGTTTGTAATCACTAACCGTTTAACGGTAGCAGTTATGTGTGTTAATCATAACAAATGTCCTGCTTCTTGCTCTGCTCGGTGAGAGGCTGTATTTCTAATGTTGATCACGTAGTACTAGGTGATTGTGGAAAGTAACTAGGATGGCCAAGAAACATCGGAAACTTAATTTCCAATGTTCTGATCAGTTGTAGAAAGACTTGCTGTTATTATGTGTTACCATGTTTACTCCGAGCTTGAACTGGGAAAAAGAAAAGGAAGGTAATCTGTTTCTTGGCAGCTGTTTGACATTGGGACAAAATATCTGAGGGGACAATCTTGTCAAAAGTTGAATGTTGCATTTTGTTAAATTTTTCATCGATTAACCACCAAGCCTGAATGTTTGGCCTAATTCACATGCTTTTTGGAAATGCTGTATGATCTTGTGGGGTTCTGGTATGCTCCTTTATGGATCTACCAGACCAGGATGGTGAGGAAAAAGAATATTCACAAACAGGCTGTGGTAGTAGTGGGAGCATATTGCCAGCTAAATCCATTTCGTGGTTTGTAGTGCATTTAGCCCTATTTGTTGTGCACGCTTTTGTTAAAGTTCTAGTCTTGGTATCATAAATTAAGGTCTCCTTCATTTTGAACAATGTGGGATTTCTTCTTGGTACGGTAAAACTTCTAACACATTCCCTCCCTTTTTACGCGCTGTGTACAGCTTGAAGATGAGATTGTCATGTTTGTTGTTTTTCTCCCGATATCCTTGCCAAATGTTAAAATTGAAATGACAAGCTTTTTTGGTTGCAACCCGACACGACTTGGATTCACCATAATCCTAAACCTGAGTCGCCCTTACACTCACAATTTGGGTCGCACTATCGTGCATTTTCCTTCATGTCCTGGTTCTTTCATGCTGTCGATGCTTCTTGCAGTGATTGATGTAACCTTGTCTCTAATGTGCAAGCCGCATCATCTCTCCATGGCGTACGGAATACTCATTATGTATAAGCTTATGACTATTCATTCAAGTGGCTTTTATCTTAGACCATCGTTGTCTGACCATAATTATCCTTCGAATGGTTAGATGTTTTAATCCGAAGTGTTTGTAGAATATCATCCAAATTTCCACCGAAAAAAAATCTTCAAAGAAAGCAGGCGATAAGAAGGAAAATGAGAAAGGGGGTAAAGTGAAGACAGCTGCCCAAAGCCAATTTGAATTAGAAAGATGGAAACTTTTCCGGAGTTTATGAGCTTAGAAGCGTTACTAGTGTTATATTTCAGCTTGACGAATCCAGATGCAGATGATTCCTACTTTCAGCCCCTTCCACGTTGTCATCATGAACTTGCGTTTGGACATTTTACATAAAGCATATGAGGTTTGACCCGTAAGCTTCTACCATGACTGAGAAACTATACTCGCGCTGGAGTAGGGGCAACTCTGGCTCAGAGAGCATTAGCTGATGATATTCATTACGTGATGTGCACTCCAAGTAAAGGAGGAAGCTTGTAGAGGAAGCTTCAACATATTATTTAGTGATTCTGCCATTGGCGATGGCATTAATATATGCACCCTTGATGCAGGGGACCTCTCGGTTAGTTGGTTTCCATAGTGCATCAGGTGACTGAATTGGTATATGGCAAAATGGTTTTGTTCAAATCTAAAGCTTCACACTTGCTCTAATAAGAGATAAAAATGAACATTCAGTTAGCATTCAATCCATTGGCCTGATTTATGTTGTGGATACGAAATTTTTGACCTAAATGGGTACTCGAGCAGGCAGATCATTCTTCATGAGATTTGGGTTGTCCCTACACTACTTCAAAAGTTATATCCACGTTACCATAAAAGCCAACTTAAGACAAAATGTGTTCGGATATCCATTTGCTTATGCTAAATTGGGTTTTGCTTATCAAGCCTCAGTTTTCCCATGCAAGTAGGTTATTTTCGCTTGCACAAAGATGCTTACGAAAAACGTGGGTTATATCCGTTTACACCTGACCCTTGTTATCTGTTCATGGAGTTCAACATCACTTGTACACCGTGGTAGACTTTGCCAGATTTTAACCAAACTGAGGTTTGGTTAGGCACACAATGGTACACGTTTTGATGACAATTTCCAAAGCAAAATAGAATTGCATAGAAAGACCATCTCAAGTTCTCAATTAATATGCCTGATGACCAAAGTATATAACCGAATCAGAGAACCAGATCCATTGATCAGGAAGAAGCAAAACCTCTTCTTGGGTTCTTCGACACGAAATTAAAGCAACAACATTCCACGACTGAAAGCGAGACGATCAGTCGTTGGCGGTAGCCAACTGCAAAGAAAGCAGCTCGTCCTCGGGAATGGTCTGATACGACAATCAGATCGAGGGTAGGAGGCGCACAAGAGTGCGTAGCCACGCTCAACAACATCGTCGCTAAGCATTCCTTCGCTCTGATCGACGGAGCCACTGAGAAGGCGAGCGGGCAAGTCATGCAGACACCGAGCTTGCAGTCGTGAGGAACGTCCAGGCCGGAGTCCAGGGCCTTGGACAGAATGGTCTCGTCGCGGTCGACTTGCAACTCCCGCGACTCACCTTCGTGTTCGATGACAACCTTATAGGAATGCACAATGGTCGGTGGAGTTGGACGGTGGCGCTTAGGGTTCAGATGAAGAGCAGGGGTGGCGGTGGGGTGGCTGTATTTAGGGATCGTGGTGGTGAAGGATGGGGATACTGTGAAACGGAAGGTTGCCATCTTTCGTGTAATTCGTGGTTCTCAGGGAAGCGCTTGGAAGGATAAGGTATCGAAAATTTCCCCCGTTTTTCCTTTCTCTGTCTGTGTTTTTTTTTTTTTCAAAAAACATTTTTACCAAGTTAATTCGCCAATGAAAGGGAGGAGCATGGGTTAAATACACACACATATTTTTTTTATTATAAAATATTTAAAAATATAAAATATTTTTAATCTTTTAAAATATAATTATTATCTTTTTTTTATTTTTTTTAAAAGCACTTTTAACTTTATATTTATTATAGAGTATTTAATAGAGATAAATATAAAAAGATAGAGTTAATTTAAAATAAATAACTACTTTGTTGGAGGTTAAAATTTAATAAAAATATTTTATATTTTTAAATAGAGGAAATACTTGGTATAAATCGTATGCTAAAAATAACTGCATTTTTAAAAAATTGATAATAGAACGTTTTTAAACCTTTCTAGTTAAAAGCATAATTAATATACTCCCTCATATTTCTATTGTTCCTATTATAAGATATTTTAACTATTTTATTAGAATTAAAGAATAACATATAAGTTATAAAGTTAAACTTACAATAGAAATAAAATTAAAAAAATAATACTTCCTCCGTTTAAAAATATAACAATTTTTTGATAAGTTGAATGTTTAAAAATACATTTTTAGTCTTTCGAAATGTAATCATTAGTTTTTTTTAAAGTGTCACAATTAATAAATAATTTTATATTTATTATAGGCGTTCAATAGAAGTAAATATGAAAAGATAAGATTAGCTTAAAAATAGATAATTACTTTATTAAGGATGAATTTAATTAAAAATATTTTATATTTTTAAACGGAGGGAGTAAGTAATTTTGATGTGTCTTATATTAAGTATTAGAAAATTTTTTACTATGTGTATTTAGTAAAAAATGCACAGAGTGCATGTATAACAAAATTCATAATAAATTATGTCATTTATAAAATAATTAATTGTGATTCATTTCATATGCTAGTAATAAATGGAAAAATGATTTATTTCAACTTAAGAAATTATTTATTAATTTTAAAAAATATATATAGATAAAAAGAATCAAAAGATTTGATAAGAAGTAGCAAAAATATTATATTTCCTCAAGTTGTGAACTACTGCCTATATATATTTCTTTTAGGTAGTGTTTGGATTTAAATATTTGGATTTGAAATGTAGAATTTGAAATCCAAATCCATATATTTCAAATTCTTTATTTAGATGTTTAAATAATTTTAAATTTTAATATAAATATTCTTTATTTGGATTGTATAAAATTTCAAATAAAATTATTAAATTCTATTTTTATTTGTTCCTACTTATAAAAAATTATATTTTTATTTTTTTATGCTTAAATTATCAACCAAAATTTACCCTCTATTCATATTATCCTAATTATTTTTTTTCCTATAAAATTTGATTGATAGATAAAAACTAAACTTTAATTCAAACATTTAATCATTCAACAATAAAACAAGATATTAAGAAATTTATTAAAATATTCTTGTACCAAAATAAATATCCTCAATACCAAGTAAAGCAAAATTTAGAAAAAACTTGCATAGAAAAAACAAAAAAAAAAAAATCTTTGACTATAAGCCAGTTCCAATATAAAAAAACTTATATTATTCTATCAACTCAATATTCATTTCACATTTATATAGCTAAAGTATCTTCATATGTAGTCTATTCATGTGTTGCTCGAATACCTTTAATATTCTCCTCATCTCTAATCTCATTCTCAACCTCCAAAGATTTTTCAAAGTCTTCATCCATTTCTTTGAGCAAGTTATTTTTAGACATATCTTCTTTTACAAAGTTGTGAAGAATAAAACATGCATTTATAATTGACTTGAGTTTGCTTATAAAAAAAGCTAGTAGTTCATAAAGTAACTCATCACTTCTTCAATAACCCAAAAGCCCTTTCAATGGTATTTCTTATTGATAGGTGTTGAAAATTAAATAACTCTTTATAATTTATTAATATGTTTCCTCTCCATAAATTAAAATGATATCTTGTTCCTTGATATGGTGCTAAAAAGCCTGGACCCTTTGCATACCTAGCATCTACTAGATAATACCTATCTACAAAGATATTTAAAATAATTAGTTTGTATTTTGGACACAAATTTCTCAATCTTCAAGTGATTATTTAAGATTAGTGAAATCTTAATAGCTGAAATCTTTAAACCATGAAGAGCATCACCTAAAATTCAACAACCAGATGCAGATCCCTCCTAACCAAGTAGCACATATGAGAATATCATCTTAGGATCACAAACAACAAGAACATTAGTACTTAACTCACCTTTCCTCTATTGATACCTTGCCCAATCTTCAATTGAAACGATCATTTGAATATGGATACCATCAAGTGCACCTTAAAAAAAAAATCATTATCAAACAATTAAAATTATGTGAATTGAGTTACAAACTTTTGTTACCTTAAAGAATTTTCACTTGTCATTATCATCATAATTTGCATTTGAGTTGATCTCTTTGATATAGTATTTGCTATCTTCATAATATCCTTGAGAACCACATGAAGTTGTCTGCTAATCATTTCTCTAGAATGTGCAAAAGCTGCCTTAATCCATCGATACTTTATTCCATGAGCAAGAATATGCACAAACATGCTATAATTTCTTTAATTGTAATATTTTTTGAAGCCACCTACCATCCTTTAGATTGCAAAATGCCATACAATTTCTTGAAAGTAGTTGGATTAAGGCATAATAACTCTATGCTTATGGTTTTACATTCTAGAATTTTTATCTAAAGAGACCTACAATGAGCATGTTAACTTTCATCCCATAAAATTTCTCATAATCTATAATTATAGTTATATGATGCTTCAATAACCATTGCAATGTAACTTACTATAAATAAAGAAATTTTTGATTTTTCTTCCCCCTCAATCATACTCTTTTCATCTCCGGTATGCTTTCTCCCAATTTGCAATTTTGTTGATTACCATCATATTGAACAAAATACCTATTACAAGAAAGTACTCTAGCATCAAATACACCATCAAAATAACAAGGAAAAAATAATGCTATAAGCTAAACAAGTTTGTAGAAAACAGCAAAAGGAATCCATCATCCCAATCATGACATGCACTCTATAGAGTATGGGAACATGTACATTTAAAGTGCAACGCCAAATAAACAATGTTGATTTTGTACAATTGAGTTAATAAATTCTCATGTCTACAATTGAGTTAATAAATTCTCATATTTACAATTGAGTTGTTTGGTTAATAAAGGCTCAAGTTTAAAAAAGAAAAACTTGCATTCTGGTAAAAGAAGTGTAGGAATATATCAAAAAATCAAGTCTACACTTAGGGAAAAGGGGGATAAACTTTCAGAAATTAATATGATCATAAAGAATATCATTGATAAAGTTAAGCAGTTCAAAACTAACAATATCAAATTTTGAACTTACAAGTTCTATGATGCATATATGTATATCACTAAGAAATAATCCCCCTCAATATATCTATGTATTATGTATGTATGCTTGCATTTTTCATTGTTGTTGTTTTCAATTTCTAGCAAATATACATGAATTAATTAATTTAAGTTTAGTTGTGGTTGAGTTTCATAGGTATTCATTATCAAATTCTTTAATACCCTGTAGATATTTTCAATAACTAAAAACCATGTCCAAGACTAGTTAGAGGAATAAATTCGAATGTCATAATTTTAACGAAAACTTGTTAGTAAATAGTGAATACTTATTATAATCTACACTTTATTTGTGTCCTTTAAGATCCCTAGAATTCATTTCTCTTCAAATGTTGAATCCTTGTTACCATGTGAAAGAACAAAACCTATTGTCAAATCTCAACCTAAATAAGAATTATGTCCCTGGGCGTCCTATTCTTTTCTCTTGACACAAGTTCAAGGAACATTATACTAAGTTGAGAAATGTCCATACACTATTGATATTGTTGATGATCGTACAGAAAGTGGAAGGAACTACAAATTCTATGAACATTTACCCATTAATAAAAAAATCTTGGCCTCCTATAAAATTTTAACCAAAAACGAATCTACAAGCTTCTCCCAAGCAATTTCTTAGACAACAGCCTTATACAAATGCACCAGTAGTTTATATCAAGGTCCATGTATCTAAATGTTTTTTAACAACAAAGATCTTCTTCCTCAGTAGCCCCTATCATGGCCCACAAAGTAAGTAAACCTTAAGATGGAGTAAACGCAAAAGTCACCCTCAATTGTGAACAAATTGATACATACCCCAACAACAACAAAATTGAGAGCACAAGCCAAACATTGATGAGGATTCTTAAAAGAGTGCCATAACACGGTCAAAAAGCTAAACAATATAAGACAACAATATAGGTTCCAAGGTGAGTAAAGTTGTAGAATCCTTTTCTCTTGTTAAATTTTGAAGCAAGAGTCCCCAGTTTGCTCTAGCACATAATCTAATTAGTTTTGGTCTATCAGTCATGGAAGTTGAAAATTCTTAGGATTAGAAAATTAATTAAAACCAAACAAATAAAACATTTCAAATGTACCCTATTGCTAATGGTAGTTGTTTATGGAACATCATCATTCAAATTCAAGAGTTCCCTTACCGGACTAGTGCCTTGTTCAAATTGTACGCAAGAACTATATATGTATATATATATCAACACACCATACATGAAGAATTATTCACTGAATATTAGAGTAGAAAATATAAATTCATCTTATCCTAAATCAAACAGCAACAACAACAAATGGAAAAATCTCAAATACAATGTAAAATGTTAGAGCCAGCTCACCCAGCACATATAGATTTATTCATTTCAAAACATACTTGGGGAATTAAGAGAAATAAGGTAAGAGAAGAAGGAAAGGAAGAAGAGATTGAAGAGAATAGTGATGATGTGCATATAGATGAAATGTAAAGAAGCTTTAAGAGATGAGGAAGGCAATTTGGACCCCCTGAGTGAAAGACGAGAACGACGTAGCAAATGGGAATGACTATACAAGATACAAATGATGAAGATGCATCGCAATGCGAAACGAGAGGTGAGAGATTTGAAATAACAAGGTTTCAGATAGTAATTTAAATTCCCAAGGAACTAAGATGAGACCAAATCCACATATTTTTAAATGCTCGAATAATGAATTTGGCTCAAATGTAAATCTATGGGCATCCAAACACAACATTAATTTTAAAACTTGTATTCTCATTAGATCATTATTATGTTATTTAGGACTGAGCCCAAGTTACATGTGCAGGGCCGTGTCAAAGGATTTTAAGACTTAAGGAAAAACAAGCAAAGAGGCTTAACATATAATAAATTATTAATCTGTATATTATTTTTTCTAGCCTTTTTTGAGTTGCAAAGTTAAATAACAAAATTTTGTGATTCGAGTAATTCAAATATTTCACTCTTAATAAATAATAAGGCTTGTCTATTTTAATGATTTTGTAACATATTTGATTTTAAATAGGATTTGAGCAACTTTAATTTTGAAAAACTTCTTTTTACAGGAGCAACCATTATAGGTATTATTACCAATATTTTACATTTGGAAAAGTATTTAAACTTTTGACATAATTTAATATTTCAACTTTCTTCTATTAATATTTATCTCAAAAATTTTAATTATGAAAATAAATCAAAACCATCAATATCATAATTGTCATTAAAACTTAAGGACAATATTAATACAAAATTTTTTCAATTCATCATCATCCAAAGTTTTAAATTTTTTGGATTCAAATAAAAAAATTAAAAATGATTTCATATTTTAAAATTTGTTCAAATAGACTCTCAATAGAAGAAATTGATTGATCTAAAATGTATAAAAAATATCCAATATGAAAAAACCTTCAGCTGAATGTATGATTTCATCACTAATATTAAAATGTTTTTTCCTATGATTACACATTTTTCATGAAAATTAGGATTTATGTTCATTTCAATAACTATATATATATTTTTTTACAAATTTTAAAGTAAATGCAAAACCATTCTCTATAATTCTTTAAATAAGTAATAAAGTCTTTAAATGATTTATAACAACATCTGTGTGTATATTTATGGAATAAAGAATCTTACAAAATATAGAGAATTGTAGTATGTAGAAAGAGAATAAATAATAATTAATGACTAGATTAAGGCTAACCTGATAATTACATATTATTTTAGGAATGTGCAATGTTTTCATTCTTCAATGGGGAGAAAAAGTCTGGCTTTATTTTTTCGTCTAGCATTTATTATAAAATTGTAAAAATACATATCCCTTTGTATTAGGGATATTAATGACATTTTTTGGGACCCTAGGCAATTGTCTTAATTGCCCTGAGGCTACCACGGTCCTGTACACGTGATTATCAGGGGGTATAGAAGTCTTAAACAAGATAAAACAGGATGAGAGATCAAGATTGTGTCTTGTTGCGTTTTATCTGGCCTCTCTTGATAAAATATAGAGTAAACTTACTTATATGTTAACGTCAATGTAATGCCAACATTAACAAGGTAGAAAACTTCGACAAGAAAGTCGGGATATCTCATCAACTCCCTTGTTGATATCTCATGAACTTCACAATTCACCTGCCCTGGAATCGCATCATTTTCCATTAGGAAACGATACTTCCCATAAAATGCTGGAACAAGGCTTCTTTGAGAAAGTCGCTTCAAACAAGCCAAGTTTAATACTTCATTTATCTCAAATTATAAATATTTTTATAAAAATTTAATATTCTAAAATATAAAATATTTTGATAAAAATAAAATTATATCAATGATACTTTTTAATATTATCTTTTTTATATATATTTTTTTCAATATTCTTTTATCAATGGAGTATTAAATGGAAGAATATTTTTAAAAAGTTTATATTTTTATTTTAAAAAAATAAACCCGTACTCTCTCTGATCTATTTATAGGGCAGAAAGAGAATTATTTTTTTACTTTATTTATAAGTTACGTTATTAAATTTTTATCATAAATTTTTTTTATCTTTATTAAATGTTGGAGAGAGAAAATATATTATTAAATTATATATATTTAATAGGAGTAAAGTTGAGAACTTATTAAATTTTAAGACAGATTTAATAAATTTTAAAATTTTTTTTGATATTAATGAAACATTAAAAATAATTTATAAATAAAATTAAATGATTAAAGTATATTTATTTAATTTTATTGACATGTGAAGATTTATCCAAAAGTATCTCATGACTCGGACAGGATTAATTATACTAATGTTCATGACTCATCAATGAGGTTTCCAAGAAGTGGATTTTATATACTGAAGATTCCTATATCGTCAAATCGAGTCACTAACTTACTCGATTATCATCGTTCATAAATTGTATTAAAAAAAAGCCTGACGTTGAAAAAGCATATAAATTTGGTCGTAGTAAAAAAAAAAAAAAAGCATATAAATTTCAGCTGGACTTCCGGTCGTAGATCGTTGTCACTTTTCATCAGCTGTGACGCAGAGGTTTGCTAACTGCTTAGAGAGGTGGCTTTTATTCCCTCACATCTTTCGATTCATTATGCGCTTCATCTTTCATGAGGCAAATTACCGCCATTTTTACCCAACATTTGAAACTTGAAAGGAAGTCCCCTTTTGTTTCTTGTCTCGGTTGTCACTCATATGCCAGTGACCTTCAAGCCAGGACGAATTTTAAATTTTCAAAATGAAAATTGAACAATCACCACCTATCGTCGAAACAATATTTTTACAAAAATTCTTCTGCTAATTTTGGGTTCCAATACATTTTCAATCAGTAATCCTGGCTTTTTGGTCTCTAGATAGGTGGCGTGATGGGACCAGCAACTCTGGAGATTTAGCATATTTGTTGTTAGCTCAACTAGGATGGAATTTTGTTAAAAGAGGTTTGAACTTGCATGGCCTATTAATTTCTGCAGTTGCGAAGACAACAGAAACTTAGAATTTCCGTGCTTACGAACTAGGAAAATTTCAGATTCCATTTGGTAGTTTATAGAACTGGTAGCATTGTGGACTAAAGGGCAGTCTTGGGACTTACGTTTTTCCTTTGTTTGCAGACTCTGCAGTAAGCTATCATCATGGCGGTGGAAAAGTCTGGAATTGCCAAAGATGTTGCAGAAGTGAGTTTGTGTAACCTGAATGATCTCTGATTTCTCTTTCACGGGCTTTTCCCCTTATTTATAGTGTTTTGCCTTTCCCCCCCTTATTTTAGTTGATTGGCAACACCCCATTAGTATATCTTAATAAAGTTGTGGATGGTTGTGTGGGCCGGATAGCTGCCAAACTAGAATCGATGGAGCCATGCTCTAGTGTTAAAGACAGGTAGAGATTTCAGTTTTTCAAACTGATATGATCTTAAAGTTTCATGTTTTTGTAGCATTATTGTTTAATTTTTATGACTTCCTGAGATTGATAGAATACTTGATTCTATTATATCTATATGAGTTACAGGATTGGTTATAGCATGATAGCTGATGCAGAGGAAAAGGGTCTTATCACACCTGGAAAGGTTGGTATACCTTGAAAAAGATCCCTCCCAAGGTTCGGGCTTTGAAACACCAAGTTTATGATAATATAATAAAAGTTTCTGCCATGGAATGGTATCAGTTGGGACAAAATGCTGTCACTTTGTACTGCCAGATTTTAAATTGTGATTTATTTAGTCAATGATTAATTGATTGTGTATGTGTTGTAAATAATGAAGCATCTTAATGTTTGAAATTGAAAGAGTAAGAAAATTATAGTGAAACAATACGCTAACACATGGGGTAAGGACTTGCAAATTTTTTTTGAGAGAACATCATTTTGTTATTATTTTTTTGTTTTTTATTTTGGTTTGGTGAAGGTTATATCATATGCCTTCAAAAGAATATCAAGTATTTGGTTGGTCAGGCCCTACTACATATAAAATGTGCCTGTTTCTTTCAAATAATTTACAAAATGAAATTTGTGTTGGTAGTTATTATAGTTCTTGACAAATATACAGTCAATTTGTGTCCGTTATACCTGTTTCAACCGATTTGTCATATGCTAGGAAGTGGCAAGCTGAAGGCTCAACGGTTGACAGATTTTTTGGTGTATCTCTTGAGTTGACAACTATTCCTTTTTGTGAATGTGTGTTTTTTATTTTGCTGAAGAGTGTCCTCATTGAAGTAACAAGTGGTAATACTGGAATTGGATTAGCCTTCATGGCAGCAGCAAAAGGTTACCAGCTTATTATTGTAATGCCTGCTTCAATGACTCTTGAAAGAAGAATCGTTCTGAAGGCTTTAGGGGCTGAGTTGGTACTGACAGACCCTGAAATTGGACTCAAAGGTGCATTTCAGAAAGGTGAAGATATATTGGCCAGCACACCTGATGCCTATATGCTTAGACAGTTTGAAAACCCTGCCAATCCCAAGGTATCTAGGCATTTGTTCCATAATGGTTGTGATGGATGCTTGACAAACGCTGTTTACAATATTTTATATCATTTCAGATACATTATGAAACCACTGGCCCAGAGATTTGGAAAGGCACTGGAGGGAAAATTGATGCACTTGTAGCAGGGATAGGTACTGGTGGTACAATAACAGGTGCTGGGAAATTTCTTAAAGAACAAAATCCCAACATTAAGGTTAGTTTATATGTTTGATGTGCTTGGCAGAATATCTGCACATCAATTTCTTAGAAAATAGAGGACAACTTGTTGCTGCTGCAACTATTTCATACATTTGTGTTCTCGTTGTTTTCCTTCCTTGTTTATAAAGTTGTATGGCGTTGAACCTGCTGAAAGTCCCGTGCTCGCTGGAGGAAAGCCAGGTGAGTTACTCCCTTTGGTCTTGTTTATAGAGTAAAGAGAGAATAATTTTTTTTTGTCCTATTTATAAGTTACTTCATTGAATTTTCATCACAAATTTCTCCAGTTATTCTCCATTGAATGTTAGAGAGAGAAAATGTTGTTAATATATATTCATTTAATAGGGGCAAAGTTGATAAATTATTGACTTTTTAGACAGAATTAATGAGTTTTAATGTTTTTTTTAATTCCGATAAAATATGTAGGAAGTGACTTATAAATAGAACTAGAGAAGTATAATCTTTGTTATGCTCCTTTGTTGATATTTGGCTTTTTAATTTTCTATCACATGCAAACCATAATAATTTTGCCTTGGTTGTTGCTTTTGAATTTGATTGAATAACATCTCCCACTTCAACAGTTAGCTTTTGAGGGAGGGTTCCCCATCCTACTTAGGTACCTATTAGTTTCCTTTTGTAACTATATTATTTGGTGAGATTTTCAGTTTGTTTTCCTGATAACATAACAATGATTGAATTTTTTCTTTCAAATTTTTATATACACCAATTCATGGACAGTTGACCACAATGACTCTTGGACTATTCTACTCTCTCTTTAACTTAAAAGCTATCCCTTTAGACAATAGGATGGATCTATTTGGCCTTTTTGTTTGTTATCCCCTCGGGTAATTCCTATTCTATTGGCAGTTTTCTTCTAATAGAATATTAGATTTCAGAGTAGAAGAACTTTTGTCTTTAACTGTTGCTAATGTGAAATTTGCCCTGTTGAATGCCTAGGTTCTCACAGGATTCAAGGGATTGGGGCTGGTTTTATACCTGGGGTGCTTGAAGTCAGTCTTCTAGATGACGTTGTTCATGTAAGTCTTTACAACTTTTGAACTATGATTACGTGCCTCTAGAGTTCATGCAATCAAACTTAATACACCTTCAGTTTATAAAGATGTGCTTGATACAGGTGGCGTGTTGTTTTATCATTTTGGAATTATTCAGGCAATGTTGACTTAAGCAAAGCTGATTGGTGTACTAATCTCAAACTTTTCCCCTTGGAGAACCCATTCAATCAATTTCTATTAGCATATTTTTCTAAACTATGCATGATTATTCCCTTCTCTGGTTCACTTCCTAATAAGATGGCTCTGAAGTCAGACCTGGCATCAGAACTACAAAAGTAATTATGAACAAATTATGATGGCATATATGATTATATTGCAATACTAATATATGACAATGATGGAACTGGGGAAAATATTACTGATTAACTTCAATATAACCTAGTCACAGCCTCTTCAGCAGGGATAATGGAAGAGGAAAACAGATAAAATTACTCCCTATAGCCGATGACAATGATAAAACAGAGACTAAGCATAAACAGTAACTAAATGCAACAGAAAGAAAACATTCTCCTGTCTTTTGAGAGGGCAGGATCTCTCTCATAAGCACAACCAATGTCTGTATAAACCTCTACCTAGTGCACACCACCTGATAGGTGCTCAGAATAACAAAAGAAAATAAGACAAGCAAATCTATTAAAAGGATATAGAACAAGTATCTTGTTCTATATTTCTCTCAATAGCCACGCTTAGAAAAATTTTCAAAGAATTTAAGGACTATTTTATTGATGGTGATATGCTAGCTTCTAAGTGGCTAGGCATATTTGTAGGCAAATACAAATGAAATCTAGATAACCAGATAATGAAAGACTAAATAAAATCTAAATATAAATAGGATCTAAATAAATGAATAAAATATAAATCTAGATAAGATAAAGACTAAAAATTAAATATCAAAATGAAATCTCCTAAATAACATTAAAATAAATATCTAAACAAAATAATAAAATTAGATCTAATTAATTTATCTTTTGTCGCTTTCTTCTTGAATAAGTCTTCAAGGGAATTTTATCATTACCCCGCCCTTGAAAACTCCACTTGTTCTCAAGTTGAAAAGAGGTGAATTGAGCATGCAGTAAGTCGTAGTCCTCCTAGCTTGCCTCTTCCATAGGTCACTTATGCCATTCCACTAATAGTTCTAGTGACTGATGATGAGTCCATCAATGATTTGAGACTCGGTTAGGCCTTACATGCAATTCAAAATCAGCCGATAGTGGTAAGGACGCTAGTGTAAGCGGTGGATCCATCCCATGAGCCTAGCGCAAGAGAGATACATGGAAAATAGGGTAAATGCGAGTGTCTGCCAGAAATTCCAATTCATAAGCCATTTTTCCTATCCTTTGAAGAATCTTGTAGGGCTTAAAGAAGCGAGGTAATAACTTTTCAAGCTTATGCTTGATAAGTGATTGTTGACGAAAAGGTTGTACTCGCAGCCAAACAACATCGCCCATAGCATACTCAACTTCTCCTTAATGCTTGTTAGCATAAGCCTTCATGCAGTCTTGAGCCTTGCATAAATCATCCTGTAGAAGTTGGAGCATGACATCTCTGGTCTCTAGTTGATCTTCCTCTGCTATAGGTGTTTCTCCTTTCGCATAAGAAAGTAGGGGAGGAGGATTTCTCGCATATACCAACTTGAAAGGCGAATGGTTGGTTGACGTGTGATGACTTGTGTTGTATGAGTATTCCGCCCAGCATAGAAACTTGTGCCAAGCCTTAGGTTGCTCATATGCAAAACATCGCAAATAGGCTTCCGGACTGCTATTGATCACCTCTGTTTGACCATTTGTTTGGGGATGATAAGTAGTACTCATCTTTAACTTGGCCTGGCTTAATCGAAATAATTCTTGCCAGAAGGAGCTCATGAAGGTAGGGTCCCTATCAAAGACGATTGTGCGAGGCACCCCATGTAGTCGGATAATTTCCTCACAAAAGATTGTGGCAACCTTCTATGCAATGAGAGGCTGCAAAAGAGGAAGAAAATGGACTTACTTACTCAAACGATCTATTACTACTAAGATGACCTTAAAACCACCATACTTTAGAAGATTAGTGACAAAATCAAGTGAGATGTCCTCGTAAATTTGAGAGGGTACCAGTAAGGGTTGGAGAAGCCCCGCTAGTGCCAGAGTTTGATACTTATTTTACTGACAAGTGGCACAATATCGCATATATGCTTTCATATCTGCCTTCATTGTAGGCCAATAAAAATTCTTCGAGAGATGCTTAAATGTTTTAAGAAAACCACCGTGCCCTCTAATAGTAGTCTAGTAGGCTTCTACTAGTAACTTGGGTCGCAATTGTGATGAATAAGGAATGATGACTTGGTGATCATAGAAAAGTTTTTAACCTACCAGGTGGAATCTAGGTCGAGATGATGGATCTTTTTGCAAGTCCTGCATTATTGCATTAGTAAATGGATCTTGAAGGTATTTTGACCAGAATAAAAATATTATATTTGCTGTGCAAATATGTATACACAATTACAAGGCTGATTGTACAAGGCAATAATCAGAAAAAATAAAATCACTTATTTACCCTCATGGTCGGGTTGTCATTATATTCTCTAGGAGTTCATTGTCAAAGCAACGTGAGGATGTTGTTGTCCTGCTTTTGCATCTGAGCAATCATCCTTCGCACTGCTGCTCTGTCTTCTCTAGCTTCTGTGTTGGCCCCTTTGTATCTCTGTTATTGCCCTTCCCACATCCTGCAGTTCATTCACTGACTTCTCTAAGTTTTCCAGCCTGGTTTCCATCCTCCTCCTATTCACCATCCACAGAAACAGCCAGCCTCTGATACCAAAATGATGGAATTGGGGAAAATATTAATTATTAACTTCAATATGAGCTAGTTACAGCCTCTTCAGTTGAGATAATGGAAGAGGAAAACAAATAAAGTAACTAACTATAGCCGAATTGAATGACAAAACAGAGACTTAGCATAAACAGTAACTAAATGCAACAGAAAGGAAACACTCTCCTGTCTTTCAAGAGGGCTGGATCTTTCCCATAAGCACAACCAATGTCTGCACAAACCTCTACCTAGGGCACACCACCACTCAACAAGATCGGCCCATCAGACAATTCTTCTAACCTATTATAATTGAATTTTCAATTTTGTAGTTGACTGAATTCTAAATTCAGTCTTATTAGTGGTTTAGTTTAAAAGAAAAAAGAAGGCCAGCATCGTAGTGATATTAGAAAGATCATCCTATTGCAGAATTTGATTTTTGGACAGTCAGAACAGTACGTGATTTATTAACCGTGAGACATGTGATTTGGCAGGCATCAACCAGTGAAGCTATTGACACTGCAAAGCTTCTTGCACTTAAAGAAGGCCTATTTGTAAGTTCTGAACCTATTGAACCTTCCAGCAGTGAGCTTGAAGCAGTACTTAAGGGCTATTTTATTGTACCTTTATCTTGTTCAGCTTTTTTTCCTTTTAAATATTTGTGTTTATTGAACCTCGTTGGGTATTGTTGTAGGTGGGATTATCATCTGGAGCTGCAGCAGCCGCTGCAATTAAGGTAGCAAGAAGACCAGAAAATTCTGGAAAGCTTATTGTAGTAAGTTTACTGAAAATTCTTGTGAAGATATTTACGAGTGACAGAGGTGCTCCTATATTTTCATGGGTAATGTTTACTGACAGCCAGAAACTTTGATCTCTTCGAGCACATTAACATGACAAAACGTTGCTTTTGAAGAATGGATTGGGTTAGCATACCTTGGACTGCTTAGCTGAAAGATTAACAGATGAATTAATGACTCTCTTGTTTTCCGTAGATAAACCATGCTTCCAAATTATTGGTTGTGAATTTGTGATGCCTTTAATATGTGATAGATATATGCTTTATGAACATTATGATCTTGTCCGTCCTATCGTGTGGGTTCGTATTCCATCCACATCTAGGAGGCTTGTACATGAATCTCTTTTTATGTAACACTCAAAGATTCTATGAATGGTTTTGAAGTAGACAAACAATTTGATAAAACTCGTGCATTGTTTAAATTTAATCGTCAGCACCCTTTTATATTCATATAATTGATCTAATGTTACTGTTATCATGACTAGATGTAGGGCCTACGTTCGAGGGGAGCTACTATTCATAACTCATGAATAATACATCTTTTAATAAATTATATATATGTTGATTTTATTAATTCATTTCGCTTGGATGATGCTAGTCTATTAGATTGGTGGTCTCATGAATTCAAGTATATTTTGAGTGAGTGAGATTAGGGTGTTATTGTATATTTAAAAGCAATGTTTTTAAAATTGGATTGGATATTGAATTGGGAAGGTCAACAGTTCATGATTTATAAAGTTCAACTGGGTTGGACCATTCAAACCGATAACATAATAATTTAATTAAAAAATTATACATGTATATAATAACTTAAATATAAAAAATAAATATGAAATTGTTACTTAATTTAAAACTAAAACCAAATAGTTTAAGTTTATCATGACTTAACAAGCCACGTGATACAATATAACATTAAATGATTAAAAAAATTGGTCATTTTGTAATAAAAGATGATAAAAAATAAAAAAAAAATTTTTTTTTGAAATAGTTCGGTTTTTAAAAATCGAATCTGATTTCCGATTTGACTGTTGGTCCAAAACGGTTCACCCTGGCTCAACCTCTAAAATGGTTTTTACATGCTAATCGAAACCAAAATCTGGACGATCCAATTCGGTATTTAAATTATTGGTTAAAAGGAAGTTACACTTTGTTGGCACTTATGTTGTGGTTTGGTATGGATGCAGGTGATTTTTCCGAGTTGTGGTGAGAGATACCTCTCATCTGTGTTGTTCGAGTCAGTCAGACAGGAAGCTGAAAGCATGACTTTTGAGTCATAAAACTTTGTTGAAATCAAGGCTTTGAAGCTACTCAAGTTTCTGATCTTAGTGCAGAGCTAGTGACTCGCCTAGTAAGGTCGTGTTGTGATTCTGAAATAATAGTTCGTAAAGAAAATGTAGCCAAAGGCCCCAAAACTTTTGAAGAACCATATTTTGATTGTCTTTGGCAGTTTGAGTCCGAATAATATTAGTTGTAATCTTGTTTTCTTCGAAAAGCAAGAAAATAAACGTGCCCTCCTCCTCGCAAGAAAAAAGAGCAGCAAAAGAAAATTGTGTAATTCTTGAATATTATTTATGCATCATAAAGCCAAAATGAAACTTATTTGTCTGTCCGAAATTTCATGAAGTCCAAAAGAATGAATGATCGAAACGAAGTGGAAGAAAAACTGTTATTTTATAATTTTTATATAATTCTAGTTTTCCCCTGATGTTTACACTTGAGTCTAACTGAAATTATTTACTATTCATAGTTTACAAACGTAACTTCTAGTGATGAGATTGTGTGTATGTGCACTATACGTATCAAACCAAAATTGGGTGACCACCAAAGATTTGGACTCTCTCCTCATCTTTTCTATTTTTCCCTCATTCCATTCTCATCCTTTAAATAAACAATCGAATGGCTAAGAACCTAAGATTTAATATTTTATAAAAATATCATAATATAACATTTAAAGAAAAAGGTCAACCAAAACGTTGTCCGTCATGGTTGATGTCATCCTGTTAGGTATTATTTCCTCCTAAATAATTCTTTTTTCCTCCTAAATATTGTAATGTCTTGTTTTGGCTTCGTAAAAATCGTGTTCTTCTCTTCTTTCCTGGAAAGTGGAATCCATAGACAAAAATAATCCATTTTATGATGTATCCCATTTAAAGAAAAGTTAAGAATATGGATCATCTCATATGTTTTGGATTGAATTTTATGAATTGATGGAATCATGATCGGGTTAAGTTCAACTCATTTTCATGAGTTGAAAACCTAAGTTAGCAGATTAAATAAATTATTCCATCAATTCATTTATTTTTTTCATGAATTTTTAAAAACTACACAGAAAAAGTGAGTATCAAATTAATATTTCTTTTTAATTCATTCTAGATATACCAAAATATTAATCTATAATATTTATATAAAATATATAAATTAATTCAATTAAGTAAGTCATGTCCAACATGATTTATATCTACAATCATTTCCCCTTTTTTTTTCCTTTTTTAAAACAATGTGAATTAAATGGATCAATATTAACCAATCATGGATTATATGGTTTAAGTTAAAAAAAAAATATTTTTATTTGAATTGTTTTTTTTTTTAACCTAACCATATCCTTATAAATAGTCATTCAGGATAACTGCGACCTATATTATGGAGTCATCCCTTGTCAACCTGGTTTTCTCCTGTCTTGAGCTCCCTGTCTTGAAATTGATGATGATGATGATGATGATGATGATGATGAGACCATCCTTCTCGAGGGCAACCGTTCTGAGCGCCAACTTCTCCTGCCTCCTATAATTTTTTATTCTTTCAACCCAGATCACCGACCATCCTCTTTCCTCGCCACTTGGGTTTTTTTATTGTTTTGGTCGAAATTACAGAAAATTCTGAGATAAAGAAACTAATCGTTAATGCATTCTTTAAAATTGAATTCTTACTAACAGGTCTCCTAAAAGTTATTTACAAAAGAAAATATACAGGATAAATCATGAATTTTTCAGTTTGATTAAAAAATATTGAAGGATGACTTGTAAATTAAAATTGAAGGGAATTTTTTTTTTTTGCATAAATTCATATCTGTGTTTTTTATACAAGTTCTTCCTCAGGGATTTTATTAATAAGAACTCTATTTTAAGAGATCCACTAATAATTAATTTTCTTACCTGTCACTTCTCTATCATTTTTCCTTTACACACACACATATAGATAGGCTATTGAAGATTTCAAACTCGATGTATTCTTTCTTTCATATATCATCGAGATGAACTGTAAAATTATTATGTCTAGGTTGTCGAATATAAATTATTATTATAAATAGAGTCACGCTTTTCTTTTCTTTTCTTTTCTTTCTTTCTTTCTTTCTTTTTTTTTTTTTTTTTGTGAATAGCATCAAGTTGAAAAGGCATAAATAGCTAAACGGTGGAAGGTCTAAGCTGGACTTCACTGGGCGGTTCGTAGATCGTTGTCATTCACTCATTTGAGGTGGCTTCTGTTCTTCTCTCTTCTGTTGATTAATTATGCTCTTCATTTTTATTTTTATTTGGCATCTAAATTGGTGCCATCCTTGCGCAATCTTTGAAAGGAAGTCCCTTTTTGGTTTTTATTAGTTACTGAAATGCTCGGTTTCCAAGTTGAAAATGAGACCGTCGCCATCAACATCATTGGAATAACTTTTTTTTTTTTTTATTCTGTGTTCAAGTGCATTCTATTTGGAAACGAACATTCCTGGCACGAAGAAGAAGATTTTTCATTCTGTAGTCATTGCTGTTTGATTCTCTAGATAGGTGGCGTCGTGCAGACAGGAACTCTGGAGGTCGAGCATTTTTTTTTTTTTTATTTTGTTAGCTGAACTAGGTTGAACTTTTTTTAGAAGAGGTTTGACTTTTCATGCCTTATTAATTTCAGCATTTGCGAAGACAGCAGAAACTTTAGAATTTACATATCTGCAAGCAGGAAAATTCAAATTCCATTTGGTAGTTTATAGAACAAGAAACTTTGTGGATAAAAGAACTGCATTAGTACTAATATTTTTTTTCTTTGGTTGCAGACTTTGCATTAAGCTATCAACATGGCGGTGGAAAGGTCTGGAATTGCCGAAGATGTTACTGAAGTGAGTTTGTGTACCTTGTGAATTGTGATGATCTCTGAATTCTCTTTCAAGGGCTTTTCCCCTTTTTTATTGTGTTTCGTCCTTTTTCTGTTTTAGTTGGTTGGCAAAACCCCATTAGTATATCTTAATAAAGTGGTGGATGGCTGTGCGGGCCGGGTTGCTGCCAAACTAGAATTGATGGAGCCATGCTCTAGTGTTAAAGACAGGTAGAGGTTTCAGTTTTTTAATCCGATATAATATTGCAGTTTCATGTTTCTTCTAGCGTTATTGTTTAATTTTTATGAATGGGCATAGGTTCATGTGATTGATAAAATGCTTGGTTCTATTGTATCTATATCACTTTACAGGATCGGCTATAGCATGATTGTTGATGCAGAGGAAAAAGGTCTTATCACACCCGGAAAGGTTGGTATACCTTGGTAAAGAACCCTTCCAACGGCTGGGCTTCAAAAAGCCAAGTTTGAATTAAAATGGTAGAAGTGTGTGCCTTGTAATAGTATCAGTTGAGAACAAAATGCTGTCACTTCGTGTATCTCTTGAGTTGACAACTATTCCTTGTGTGTGTGTGTGTGTTTTTTTTTTTTTTTTGCTGAAGAGTGTCCTCATTGAACCAACAAGTGGTAATACTGGCATTGGATTAGCCTTCATGGCAGCAGCAAAAGGTTACAGGCTTATTATTGTAATGCCTGCTTCAATGACTCTTGAAAGAAGAATCGTTCTGAAAGGTTTAGGGGCTGAGTTGGTACTGACAGACCCTGCAAAGGGAATAAAAGGTGCATTTCAGAAAACTGAAGAAATATTGGCGAAGACACCTAATGCCTACATACTTCAACAGTTTGAAAATCCTGCCAATCCCAAGGTATCTAGACATTTGTTCCGTAATGGTTGTGATGGATGCTTGACAAACTCTGTTTAAAATATTTTACATAATTTCAGATACATTATGAAACCACTGGCCCAGAGATTTGGAAAGGCACTGGGGGGAAAATTGATGCACTTGTAGCAGGGATAGGTACTGGTGGTACAATAACAGGTGCTGGGAAATTTCTTAAAGAACAAAATCCCAATATTAAGGTTAGTTTATTTGTTTGATATGCTTAGCACGATGTCTGCACTTCCATTCCGTTGAAAATGGAGGATAAATTGCACTGCTTCAACTATGTCATGCATTTGTGTTGTCATCGTTTTCCTTCCTTCTTTATGTAGGTGTATGGTGTTGAACCTGTTGAAAGTCCCGTGCTTTCTGGTGGACAGCCTGGTGAGTTATAACATTGGTTATGCTCCATTGTTCCTTTGTTGGTATTTGATACAAGCCATAATAATTTTTCCTTGCATGCTGCTTTTGAATTTGATTGAATAACATCTAGGTATTTGTATGCCATGGGATTAGAGTACATTATTCTGGTAAAAGTGATCTCCCTGGAACTACTTTTTAACCGAACCTCATCCCTGTTCCTTACCTTCACGAAGGAGTGGGTTTCCTTTTGTCCTACTTAGCTATATTATTTAGTTTATCAGTCCGTTTTCCTGATATATAAACAATGAATGTACTTATTCTCTTGAATTTTTAGCACCAATTCATGGTCACTTGACCACAATGCCATGTGAATGCCCAGGTACTCACAAAATTCAAGGGATTGGTGCTGGTTTTATACCTGCGGTGCTGGATGTCAGTCTTCTCGATGAAGTTGTTCAAGTAAGTTTTTTCAACTTTTGAACTATGCTTATGTTCCTCAAGAGTTCATGTAATTAATCAAACTCAATATACCTTCAATTCATAAAAGTGGATTTGATATGGGTGGCCTTTTATTTTTTTCATTTTGGAAATATTGAGGCAATATCGACTTAAGCAAAGCTGATTGTTGTATTAATCAAGCTTTTCCCATTGGAGCACCCATTAAGTCAATGTCTAATGGTTTATTCTTCCTAAATATGCATTATGAATATTTCCTTCTCTCTTTAGTCCCAAGTTGGATGGATCTGGAGTCAGACCTGTCATCAAAGTTGCAAATGTAATTATGGACAAATTATGATGGGATATACAATAATATTGTAATATTAACACTCCCTCCATTTCTAATATAGGGATCGCATTGATGACCGTGCTCATCATCCTTATGGGGTGATCTGAGCCTTTCGTTTTTTCTCAAATGATCTATATCGTTGATTTAAAATTATTGTTTTAAATATTTTTATATTATATTTATCAAAATAAAAATTATAATAATAAATATGAATTGTTTAGAGTATATCTAGATAATCAATAAATTAAAATGATAAAATTTTTAATATTAAATTGAACTTTTCAAATTATATTTATACTGTCTAGAGTATATCTGGATAATTAATTTGTAAAAATTATTAAAAAATAATATTAAATTTTGTCATTCAAATTAAATCTATGCTGGTCAGATTGGTGTAAAAATTTTTTATTAAAGATTTCTATTTTTTTACATATTTTTATTTTAATAAATATAAAATAAAAGTAAAAAGCTTAAATTTAGATTATTCAAATCTTATTAGGGGTGATGAGTATTGTAATATTTACCCTATAATAACGTAGAAAACAGTCCATATTTAATATTATAATTTTTTATATTTTATTTTTATAAATATAATGTTACAATATTTAAAAAATAATTTTAAATCAACAGTGGAGATCATTTGAAGAGAAATGAAGGGCTTAGATCACCCTATAGGAGTGATGAGCCGGCGGTGCTCTTCAAAACTAATGAGCACTGAATGCATTTCCCTATATGTAAGAAAAAAAAACTATATCATACAGTTTAAGAAAATTAGTTGACTATAATAATTATGTCTGAAAATAAAAAAGTGAACTAAAATGTCCTATGTTAATTGATATAATCATATATTAATTGTTTTTTATTAATATAAATTATGAAAGGTAATTCAAAAAATGTGTAATAAATGCTTATTTGAGTTGGTGATTTTGCTTATAAAAAAATACAAGTCAAAAGTGGCAGTTTCTGGAAGGAGTATATGACAATTCTTCTAACCTGTTATAATTGAATTTCATATTTGATTCAATTCAAAATTAGGGGAATAAAAATTGAGACGACAAGATAAATTTATTTTTAGTTTGGAACCAAAAGATGCTAAAATTCCAATTAAGGACCTAAAGTCATTAAGTAGTTTGATACTTCATGATTTGATATTGATATTCCAAAATTTGACACTAAGGACTTTAGTTAAAATTTGACAATAATATTTCCAGTAAAGTACTGACAGTTATTAGTAATGTGACACTAATATTTTAAAATTCAGTATTGATATTATGAAATTTAACACTGATATTTTAAAATTTGAGAGTGATACATTTTGTAATGCCATTGTTAAATTTTTTAATATCAGTGTCAAATTTCATAATCTTGATGTCAAATTTTGGTAATATTAATGTCAAATTATTTAAAGACATTTGGTCCTTTACTAAAATTTCCAAATCTTTTGGTCTTGAATTGAAATTAAATTTATTTGGTCTCAAATTGCCATTGTCCCTTCTAAATTCAGTCTTATTAGTGGTTATTGGTTTAGTTTAAAAGAAAAAAGAAGACCGAGGTTGATGTAATATTTGAAAGACCATCCTATTGCGGAATTTTGGGTTTGGATAGTGAGAACAGTATGTGATTTGCTAAACTTTACATGTCATCTGATTTTGCAGGTATCAAGCGATGAAGCTATTGATACAGCAAAGCTTGTTGCACTGAAAGAAGGCCTATTTGTGAGTTCTGAACCTCTAGAACCTGCCAGCAGTGACATGTACCTCTTTCCTTATTCAATTTGTTTTCGTTGAACCTTGTTGGTTATTGTTGTAGGTGGGAATATCATCTGGAGCTGCAGCAGCTGCTGCAATTAAGATCGCAAAAAGACCAGAAAATGCTGGAAAGCTTATTGTAGTAAGTTGACTGAAAATTCTGATGGGGAGATTTATAAATTACAGAGGTTCTCATATATATTCATGGATGAACTATGTTGACTCCCACAGCTGCTCTAATATTACTACGATCATGATGGAGATTTGATAGTATAGGATACTAAATCCTACATTAAATAGTATAAGATGCTTAAGAGGGTATTTTAGTGGGTTAGTTCTCTTACTTCAATAGTTAGCTTTTAGGGTAAGATTTTCCATCCCACTTAGTACCCATTAATTAGTATCAAATCCTCATTGTTAGTAATTTCGGAGAGGGCTACCCATTGAAAGTTTTGACCGATAGGAGACCAAGTTAAGTGCCGTGGAGTGCAAATGTCCTATCGGGACATCAACTTTCCATTGAGAGCCAATTGATGGAGACTTAGTAATATAGGATATCAAATCTCACATTGAATAGTATGGGATGCTTAATGAGGTATTTAAGCAGGTTGGTTATCTCATTTCAACAACTAGCTTTTAAGGTAGGATTTCCCATTCCACTAAGGTATCCATCAAATCGTAACTAGATGTAGGGCTCATGGCCCATATTTGGGGGAAGGCTTGCTATTCATAGCTTATAAAGAGCATGACTTTATTGATTTGTTTTACTTTGCATGATACTGCACTCTAGATTTTGTTGATTTTATAGTATGCTCGGTAAGTTTATATATATATATATATATATATTGAGTGAGAGAGATTACAGCGTTTATTTTACAGATAAAAAGAAAGTTAAACCTTTTCGGCACTTATGGTGTGGTTTAATATGGATGCAGGTGATTTTTCCAAGCTGCGGTGAGAGATACCTGTCGTCGGTGTTGTTTGAATCGATCAGAGAGGAAGCTGAAAGCATGACTTATGAGCCATAAAACCTCCTGATTTGAAGGCTTTGAAGCTCCTCAAGTTCCGATGTTGGTGCAAAGCTAGTGGGATAGTGTCTTTTCTAATATGGTTGTGATTCTGAAATTCTGAAATAAAAATTCGTAGAAACACTGTAGCCCATCGCCCCAAAACTTTTAGGGTCACAATTTGATTGTCCCAGACAGTTTGAGCCTGTTTGAATGATGTTGGTTGTATAAATTTATAATTTCATTTGGTTCTAAAAGCCACAAAAGAAATGTGGCAAAAAAAAAAAAATAAAGAGAGAAAGAAATTGGTGTAATTCTTGAATTATTTACGCATCATGAAATCAAGATGAAACTTTTTTTCTGGCATCCAAAATTGCCTAAAGTCCAAAAGAGAGAATCAATGGTCAAAATGAAATGGAAGGAAAAAAGAGATTTCATAGTTTTCATTCAATTTTAGTCAAGTTCCTTAATTTTATTACAAATTTTATTTTTTTCTTTTTTTGGAAATTTTATTTTTCTCTTTTAATTTTATTTGAATTTTTGGAATTTTTATAAATTTATCCGTTTCTTTTAATTTTATTTTATTTTGATGTAAAAAATAATTTGGAAAATAGTCAAATATTTTTTCTGACTAATACTTGCAATAAAAAAAAATATCAATTACATTAGAGTGAATCGGATAAAAATAAAGTCCAAGTTAAAATTTAGTAGATTGAAATAGAGTTAAAAGAAAATATAAATTTAAAATTAAATAGAAATAAAAAAAATATAATACACACATATCTATTAATATTAAGAGATCAATTAAAAAATGTGTTTTGACAACCCAAAAACACTACAATCCCCTTTTTTTCACCTCTGGTTCCTCGAGGTAGAATATAAATACCATTGCAAATATTTTGACCATATTTGCTTAATAAAAGAACACGGTACAGAGTGCAATCAAACAGTTGATTAAGCACATCATGTAAATACGGGTAAAAAATGTGATGACCATGCACATGATGCAGTTTGTTTTCCTCCCTGTAGACAGAAACACGCCTTCTTCATTTGTCAAAATCCCCACAATCAATTATTACCGTTCCCCAAAGAAGTTCAAGTCTCTCCTTTGCCTCATTTGAAACTCAGGGATGGCTGAACTTAATACAGTTTTTGTATAATTGAACAGCCAAGATTTGGTGCACTAATCCAAAGCAAGAGTAGGACCATCGACCAAGGTCTCTGCCCAGAAAATGAATAGGCCGAGCAGTACCAATCCCAGAGAGACCTTGGTGGTGCAATCCTGTGAATGTGGCATTGAGAACAAGAAGACAAAGTCCAACTGAACATATCCACTGAACCAAGGATTATACTAAAAACAGCTCGGAGGTAATCATGAAATCCAGGATGTTGAGCTTCCGATTGTACGAACCACCAATGATTTAGTCAATCTTTGCTACTTAACTTTGTACACAGTATTGGAATATTAGTTGTTAATCATGATTAGTTGTTAGTCAAAGTCTATATAAAGGGATAAGGGTTAGACATTAGGAAAGAGGGTTTAAGCCTACCTAAAAGAGGGAGCTTATCAAAGGTCCTCACCCATGTTAGTTCCCAAAATGAGATTTGTTCATTACCCAAGTGGGTTGATTGGTTTTTAATCCTTCAAGTGAAGGAATGTCTTGTATCCAGTATTCTTGATTAATGGAAGGTTTTCATCAATATTCTTCCCTCCTTTGATTTCTCAACATAGTATTAGAGCCAAGTTTCGATCCTAAGGGTTGTGGGTTATGAGCCCTCCACACTTGAGTCCTCGTTTGATTTTTCAATTCTGAGATTCTAAGTGAGTCAAGCCGACAGATTGTATTGGGGTTACTCTGGATTCTCGGAGAGGGGTACAGGCTGGGAAAGGCTGGTGAGGTTCTTCAAGAACCATGAGTTCAGATTGCACAGCTTTGAAGAAGTTAATATTTTGACCCAACAGTGGCATCAAGAAGTTCAGAGTCTGCTGCTCCAACCTGCATTAACAACTGCACAATGAAGATTTAGGACCCAATGGCCAGTTATTTGCAGAACCGTGTGTCGTGAGTGTAGCAGTTGACAAGTGGTGCTTTCATGGCTACCAGCTTTATTTTCTCTGCTAGTTCTCGGTTTCTACGGTTCATGTTCTCTATCTCCACTTCTTTTCCCCTTAGTATCTTGCTTGCACCTTTGTCAATGGCAGTAAGAAGGGATGCAATGTGCTTTTGTTTCATGTCTCTCAATCCTTTTGACAATGGCTCCTTCTGAAGTTTAATATACTATATACTGGTCCAATTCTTGCTTCTGCCTATCAAGCTCAGTTCTAATATTGTCAGCAAGGGATAATATGATTGAAGGCTTTCAGGGGCAGTAAGTGAAGGAAATGACTATTAAATTTTTTTTTTTTTTAAAAAAGATTGAGGTTGGTAGGACATGCAGAGACCAGAGAAGAGTCTTGATGTTGTTGAGGGGATGCAATTTGACCGAGGAAATGGTAAATGGAGATAAGGGTCCTTATTTTATTCAAGTTCCAAAAATATGGCACTTCATGTTGACGCTGACCAGAAAGTTGGTCCAGAAGCGCATCGGCTTGTATTCCTTGGTTCAAATGATTTCGGCAACTAAATCAAGTTGCTTTGGGGTAAAATTCATCTTCCAAGATAGTCTAAATTTTGGAGCTGGTCCAGAGGTCATTGAAGAGAGTGAAGTTGTCCAAGAGAAGAAAGTACTCAAAATTATTGTGGAGAAGGGGATGCAGAATGAACAGAAGAATACATTCCTAGTGAAGCTGACGAAGCTCTGGAAACAATTACAAGAAATATTGATTTTATCCTACAAATGTAGGATGGTTTGTAAATAGTTTGTATTGGTCTAGTTGATCATTAAGTTATATGATCAATATTCCACTTATGTTGTTCTCCCTCATTCTTGTTGTTGGCAAGTCGAGCACCTAGAATTAAAGAGGTGTAAACTTGAGAGGGGCATTGAAACATTAATTGTTAATCATGATTAATCGTTAGCCTTAGCCTATACAAAAAGATAAAGATTAAGCATTAGGAAAGAGGGTTTTACCTAAACGAAGGAGGTTAACAAAAATCCTCACCTCATGTCAGTCTCCAAAATAAGGTTTATTCATCATCCAAGTGGGTTGATTGGTTTTGTAATCCTCTGAGTGAAGGAATGTCTTGCATTCATTGTTCTTGATTAATGGAAGGTTTTCATCAATATTCTTTTCTCCTATGATTTCTCAACACACAAGACTTGAAATACGCGGTACTTAAAACCGCTTTGACGGTTGACACAAGTGAGAGCTACGAATAGACGAGGAACCAAAATAGTACCATCAAAAGAAATCGCAGAAACTTGATGTTGAACAATTCAGATTGCGGAAGTCGAAATCTTCAAACAAGTACAGTCGTTTGCATACGACCGGGGGGGGGGGGGGGGAAGCAATTACTATCAGGATCTCTACTTTCTGCTTGAACATTTGAAGGGATATAATCACATTCAATCAAAATATTCGAAGACAAACTATTCTACTCTTGTTTGATGGGACAGCCGGCGCTCCAAATCTCTCCACAAACGATTCACATGACTTATCACCTCTCGGCTCACTAAACCGCTGAAGGTTCACAAATACAATTAACGATATCAACTTCAGCCCAGTGGGATAGCTACCGAGATTTCCAGCCGACAGGTGATCTTTCTCCTCCTACTCCTTCACTCCTTTTTGTGATTTTTGAATGAACTGAACCTCTTCATAATTGGATGATCAACCAACCATCTCTCGTTCAGCTGAAGAAATCCTGGACTCCTCTGCCAGCAAACACACGATCAGAAAGCTCGGCCAAAATGGCATTCACCGTCAGCAAAACGACACTCGACCCCAGGATGACGCCGAGCACAACACCGGTGGTTCCTAAGACCTTCCCAAACGCCGGCCACTCTATCTCCCTTATCTCTTCGGCCACTCCACTCCATAGGTTTTCCCCTTCCTTCTCCTTCCTCTCCTGGATTGCCTTCTTCAGTTCCGACGCCAATTCCGACAGCTCAACGTTCTTATCGACGGGGCCGGGCTGAGACGTTGGTGGTTTTTTCTCCTCTGATTCCGGCAGGGTTTGATTGGCACTCACAGGTTCAGGGTCGGAACTCTCTTGACTTTCCTCAACGACGCGGAACACCGACATCATCCGCCGCCGCTCTGGGAAGACAGCGATCCCGATGGGCCGACATCGATGAAGAAGGAACAAAGGGTTCGGAAGCAGAGTATCGGTGCTCGAAAATATGTGTCTGGTGGGTGTTTGGAAAGAGGATACGGTGGGCAATTGTCGGAAAGTATGGAGCGCCATTGCCATCATCAACCTCCGCCCCGATTTTGGATAACAGAAAAAGTTATGGAGGTAAGCGATTTCAGATATTTCCCAGAATTTTACTCCCCAAAGTCCGAGTTTTCCAAAGCTCAATTTAAAAGAGGGGAGAAGTACAATAAAATGCCCCCAACATATACAGATAATAAATAAACATTGCATGTGCTAATTACCACCTTAAAAATATAACACAATTTTTAAAAGTTAAATGTTCGACAACTTAAGTTAGTTTTTTAAAATATATTCTATTAAAATGTAATTATTATTTTTTAAAAAAATTATTAAATAAATTATTTTATATTTATTTTAAAATAAAATATTTTATTAAATAAATATAAATGTAAAAATTAATTTAAAATAAATAATTATTTTATTAAGAATGAATTAAAAATATTTTATATTTTTTAAAAGAGTATTTTATAGTTTCTAACGACTTGTTTCATTATCCGTCAATGAGAATTTAAAGTAAAATGACATATTTACCCTTCCCTCGACCCTTGTTTGCCCTGTATCCGCGCATCTCGGCACCAAGCTCTTCTTATCAGGACTGAAGAATGTCGCAGGGTCTTGCAATTGACCGAAACTATCAAGTCGAATGATGAAAGCAACAGGAAAATGAACAAATTCATGAGCATGGCTGAAGAGAAGATTCTAAAAGCTAAAGAAGATACCGAGCTGGTAATATCTGATTTTGATTTCGCCCAAAGCTTGATGATGAAGAAGGTCGTGATTTCAACTAAAACCCGATAGTGTGGAGCAATATCTCAAGAAAAAAACTACTGAATTTGAAGATAACACGGAAATTGAGTGGTACCCAGAAAATTTGTCAACGATTTTGAACAAGATGAATATCACCCAAAAAGCGAAACCCAGAAAGTTCTGTTATTTCACTCTCTGTGTCATTGTGTTAGTGTGCACGGGTGCATGGAATGAAGAAGAAGTGGGAATAGCCAGTGAAAAAGATAACATGCTGTTGAAGAGTAAAGAAAGTAAGGGATGATGATTAGTGAGAGAGAAGTGACTAAAATCACATGAACTCAAGGAAACAGAGGAGGTTCGCTGGTGAGTGTATTGGTGTGTTCAATGCATGTAAAAAAAAGAAAAATGTAATTAAAGAAGAAAGGAGGAGGAGGAATGCCATTGGGGTTTTGCATTTGACCGAAACCATCAAGTTGGATGATGAAAGCAACAAGAAATCCTCGGAGTCCATGAACAAATTTCCTTCAGGAAGAAGAGGTGGAGAGATGGAGACACGGGAGGAAGGATTGAGGGGATGGCAAATATGTCATTTTTTAGAAAAATAAAATGACAGATAAGTCTTTAAAAATTAAAAAATAATTATCACATCATTTTATAATATCAATTTGTCATTTGAATTTTTTTGAGAGTATTTTATTGTTATTCTCCTGTTTAAAAGCGAAATGAAATTGGTTTATCCAAGGGGGCGGGGGGCATTGAGGGCTCACGTTAGAAAATAGGGGAAATCAGAAATTGAGCATGAAAGTTTGCTCGAGTGTAATGTCGCAGAGGAAATTAGTTTACTGATTCTTTTTTCAGAGAGAGAATTGGTTTACTGTCCAGCTTGGAATCCGCTGGATATTCATGTTTACATTAAAAGCCTAGCCTAGCTGACTATGGTTTCGTTCAGGTCCATATAGGTGCATGGGATCGAATCTTTTGCGTTCAGGCCATAACTGGTCTGTGGGCTCCTATACATGAGGCCCTTCTGAAAGGATTTGTCCATGTTGAGAGTGGTTTTCTACTCTTTCCAACTTGGACTTGGGGTTCCCATCAACAAAGATTGAATACAATGAAACGAGTTAAATTTTTATAATATGATGAATTAAGGTTTAAATTTTTAATAATAAATGTGCTGACATTTAAGTTTTTGACCATATCGCAAACATAATTATCATTTGCTATGGTTTTTCTACAAGCAATCACCCATTATAATTTAGTAACTTTTTTTAAGAGTTTTTAAACTTCTGTAAATAATTCCCCCATGCCTAGTTAATCCACCAGTATTTTTTCCCACATAACTTATTTAACATAATACGAAGTGGAGTTTGGGATGAAGGTGGGAATTGAAGAAGCTTAATAAATAAAGATATTATTAAGGTTTTAAAAATCGGACTGGTTATTGAACTGGATTAGGCACTGGTTTACGGTTTATTGGTTCAACCGTGGTCGAACTAGTTGATATTAAATTAATATATTTTTAATTTATATATCATAATTAAATAAAAAATACATTTAAATATATCTTTTTTAAAAAAATATATCATAAATGCTTTGTAATATAATTTACTATTGATGAATACATGATTAATATTAATTATAAATAAAGCTTTTTGTTTAAAAATTAAGAAAGATATTGATAAAATGATACATATTAGATATTTTTTGAAAATATGTTTAAGCTAAATTAAAAGAATCAAATTTAAACAAAAAAATATACATAAATAATAGAAAGTGTAAAAATTAAAAAAATGTGTAATTGCACAATATTTATCTGAGCTCCACATCTTCTACGTGAAAAGGGGGAAGAGGCGTGCTTGATTATAAAAAGGAGTGGAGTGCGCACGCTGACAGACAAGGGGCTGAGTGTATTTTCGCAAAAATTACAGCTCATGCACCAAAGCTTTTAATATTTTAGTTTGAAAATTTTGATTAGTTTTTTTTTTATGTGGTACGGTTTTTCAAAGGAATTGGTCTTATTTTTAACCAATTTTACTGGTCTTTGATCGATTTTATAATAATTAATTTGAAAGGGTCAATTGAAGCGAACTAATAGCCAATTCTCGGTTCAATCAGCTCAGTTAAACTGATCAGTTCAGTTCGATTTAGTTTTTAAAACTTTGAATATTACGGTAAAGAAAAAATTAATGCGTGAAGCAAAAGAAAAATATACAAGTCATTATGTTTAAGGCCAAATTAAAACTGTCAAATCCTTTTATTGACTGGAGGAGTATTCCAACAAAGGCACAAACTGCTCAACCAATTACCACCATCTTTCACTTTTGAATTAAAAAATAAAAAACCTCTCCCATCACGTCAACTATTGGAACAGTGAGACACTGTAGACAATTTTCCTTACCGTCATTCTTATCCTCCTCAGCTAACCAACTGCGTTCAGGCCCCAAGCCCCCGCAAAAAAAAAAAAAACAAAAAAACAAAACAAAACAAAACAAACTAACAGTTAGCCAACTAGACACGACAGTTATTTATTTTATTGAATGAATTGAAACCTAACGTCTCATATATTCGATCGCAATTGTTTGTTGCGTTTGGTTTGGAGCATATGGACCTCCAGATTTTAAATTTTTTAAATTTTTATTTTTTATTTATTATAAAAAATATAAATTTTAATAAATATATTTTAACATCAATCTAAATAATATAAATTATGAATAATTTAATTTAATATTGAATTTTATAAATTAATTATTCAAATGTATTATAAATTATTAAATTTAATAATAAAATTTTTATAAATTTTTACTTTAATAAATATAATATTAAAAATTAAAAAAAAAGATGATTTTTCAACTGACACTTTAAAAAAATTTAAAAAAATTATAACTCAAAAATTTTAAATTTAAATAGTTTAAAGTACATTTAAATAATAAATTTATATAAATTATTAAAAATTAATAGTAAATTAAATCATCTAAATTAAATTTATATTGTTTTAAATTAATAATAAAATAAATTTATTAAATTTTTATAATAAAAATAAAATAAAAAATAAAAATAAAATCTTAAACTCAGCAGCACCTGCCAGATTTTTGACTGTTGATCATGTGATGAACGCATCAAAAGTGTACTACTGTTTATTTCTCTCATGCGCATCATGCCTGTGCATGGTTGTCACAACTTGATTAGACACAATCAGGGCAACTTGAGGATTTTATGGCTCTTCATCTTCCCGATGTGACAATCAAACTGCACTACCACCTGTCTAATTTAAATATATATTTGATGTTATTTATAAATTATTTTTAATATATTTTATTAAAATTAAAAAAATAAATTTCATTAATTTTATCTTAAAATTTAATAAATTTTTATCTTTATTTTTAATCAATATTCTTAAATCTCATGGCATTTTTATTTAAAATATTTAATAAGTACATTAAAAATTGATAATTCTTTATATATAAGAATAAATTTTTTTCTCACCATCTCTCCTTTATAAAAAGATAAGAGGAGTATAACCTAAAACCAAGTAGAGGTATGGGCAGCTTGCATGTTGGTCTCATCCCATTGAATGATCAATTAATGTATCCACATAATATTCTATATAGATTCATTTGAATTTCTTCGACTCTCTCCGCAAAGTTACACGTCTAGGTATCTTCATGGAGGAGGTTAAGATTTACCTGTCCTTGTGCCTCTGTTTTTAATTACCATTTTGTGGTATATTTGATATCTGGCACCAACGTTGTCCATTGCTAGTTGCTACATGCATCTTAAAAGTTCCAACCTATAAACAGTAGTACACTTTTGATGTGTAACCTATGGCACTTCTTGTTATTTAAAATTTTATGGCACTCCTTGCTGGCCAATTAAACCAATATTTGTTATTTAAAATTTTAATTAATGACAACTGGACAAACTATATATAATGTGCCCGATGCATAAATGACATGATTTATAACGATAATATACATGATTTTTTATATTAAAAATAAATAAAATTAATTTATTTGACAATAAAAAATATAAAACAAATATAATTCTTAAAATTTTATTAAATGATTATTTAAAGAAGAGATTAAAGAACTTTAAAAAAAACAAACGAACAAAAAGTTCAGCAAAAGTAAATGAGTTGGTGAGCAGGTTTGAAAACTTTGAACTTTGAAGTGATGGATCGAGCTATAGAACAAACGTGCTGGCAACATTAACGAGGGTAACTTGGCCACAACGAGAAAACAGAGGTAACAAAATTAACAATGAAGAGATAACTAAAGGTAGTAAAAATTGACTGTTAAGCTCCTGTCAAGTGTCAACCAATGAATCTGGTGAAAGGTGAACCTAACATTGACAATAAACTCTGCGAGAGCACTGATGCCTGATGGCTAAACTTTCGAGGCCAAAAT